ACTAGCTTTTGACTTTCGACTCCAGACCTGGCTTTCCCTGCTGCGCTACGCAACCTGCTCTCAACAGAGCCAGGTTTGAAGATCAAGGGCCTCTGTCACATTACTGAATTATTCAAATTCTGGTACTTGCATCTATTGATTCTGTATGCAGTTGCCTCGCTCATAACCCATTCTCTCCCACAACCCATAGGATGGTCCGTCTACCTAAGTGCGGATTCCTCAAATTACTCCCTCATAACCCGTAGTGCTGAATGGGTATGGGTTATACGGAGGGGGCTATGAGTGTTCCAGTTGAACAGCACGAACGGCACGAACGGCACGGATATAGCCGGAAAGGTTCAGCCTAGAGTCTTTATACACCTGACGTTCCACCCTCCCTTTCTTCCCCCAACATAGAAAAACCCTTAGTCGATTCTGCCTCTGAGCCTTTTTTCTTTCTGTTTACATTTGTTACAAAAAGCGATCCACAAGTAAGCCCTTTAGCTTTTCTTTGATCTCTCCTCGTTACTGATCGTTCCTTCCCAGTGGCGCCTAACCCCTTCAACCTCGACGAAGTGTTCTACGACTCGTGCCTGTACATCCCCGCACAATTCGGAAACGAGCCGCCGATTGCCTCAACCTCGACCCTCGTCCCACCCACCGTCTACACATTCGGCAAGTGCGAGGGTGACATCGACTCGTCCCGTCTCACCGACCATTACCCTGCTGCTTATAAAGACTTCTTCGGTACGCCCAGTGGCGCTCCCTGCATCTACAAGTCGGGCCCTGCCTGGCCTGAACGCCCAGGTCCGCATGCGCAGCGCTTCATCCGTGAGGCACGCCCTGTCTATGGCCACCCTATCGCAGGCTCCTGGCTCGAGATCGGTACGGAAATCTACAAGTCCCTCGACTCTCACGGCGTCATGTGGACCTCGATCGACCCCGTCGCCTTCGCCAATGCAGGGGAGAAGACGCCGTTTTGCCCACTCCTTATGTGGATCGGCGTGAAGCACAAGACTCTCCCCTTCGACGCTGCGGTGGCTGCCGCCGACGCCATCAAGCTTATCCTCAGTCTAGCTGGCTTCCCTGACATCGAGGTCGCTTTTCGCGAGTCGGAGGTGACCCACTCTGTTGGTGGCCCGAAGCTCCTCCCCTTCACCCCCCTCTTCGACCGCATCCCCAAGTTCCGCAAGCCTTTCACGCCCACGCTTGGCCTCTCCATTGCCCCACTCAAGACACCCCACTACGAGGGCACCGGTGCCCTCTACTTCCGCCTCGGCAAAGATGACGATGAGCGCGTCGTCCTTCTCACTGCTGCCCATGTCGCTCGCCCTCCTGCATATGCCTACATGGGCACGTTGCGCCAGCACACCAGACAGCAACATGAGCACATTGTCGCCCTCGGCTGCATGGGCTACTGGAATGCTATAAATGCCATGATGGACACCATCGGCGACCTCGCTCGCTCCATCAAGGTGTGGAACAAGGTGATCTCCAGGCTGGGCGAGTTCGTTGAGGGCGAGGATGCAGCGGTCACCGATTCGCGCAAGTACACCCAGCGTGACGTGGAGAAGGCGATGAGGATAATCGACAACTTGAACAAGCTTCACGACGAGGTTACTAAACGCAGGACGCACCCGGACCTGCGAATCATCGGCTTCGTCCTCCACGCTGAGCCCATTGTCGTCGCCGACGGACCCACCGAGTTTACGCATGACTGGGCCTTTATCCAGCTTTACCCTGAGAAGATCGACTGGAGCACCTTCCCAGGAAACAAGGTCTACATTGGTACGTTTCCCATCTCGTCCCGCAGTTTCAATTTTGGCTGACTATTATATCCCTGCAGGTGGCAACCTCTCGGTGCCTGACTTCCGCAACTTCTTGTTCCCACAGCCCAAGGACAAGGTGGGCTATGAGTACCCGGATGATGGGCTCCTCCAGGCCTTTGGTGTCGTGAAGGACGACGAGATCCGTCAACCCCAGCACCTCGATATTCACGGCGAAAAGGCACTCCTTGTAGTGAAGAATGGCCCAACCACAGGCACCACCGTCGGTCGTGTCAACGGGCTCGAGTCTTTCACTCGCGTCTACACTGACTATAGTGCCAAGTATGTGTCCATCGAAGTCGCCATCCTGCCCTACACCGACAACAAGAAGCTGCCCAGCTCCTTCTCCGCCCCTGGAGATTCCGGTGCCATCATCCTCGACAGGGCTGGCCGCATCGTCGCCTTGCTCACCGGCGGTGGCGGCACGAACCATGAGACAGACGTGACCTATGGAACCCCATACTGGTGGCTCGAGGAGAAGATCAAGAAGGCCTTCCCCGACTGCCACCTCTACTAGGTCGCCACCTAGGTTTACACATTTTTTAAATGCAAGCAGAAACTCAGGTCTTGTTCTTTTTTTCTTCTTTACTTTCCTTTTCACACATAACTAATGCCATCTCTCCTCAATATACAGGTAGACCTCTCGGACTCGTCGACTCGTTGTGCACGTCCTGGACGAGTTGGTTTGTTGTTGGTCAGCCCTTGTACACTATCATGTCTTTCTGCTTCTTGGACATTCATAGCATATCTTTTTGTCTTGTTTTTTGTACTATTATATGTTGTACTTTGTAATTAACAGTGTTCATGCATGTTTCTAACTTGGGTGCGATTAAGTAAAAGTTTGATACCAAAGGTAAAGTTCTACACAGGCACTTGTCGCTCTGGTGCTAAGTCATGCTCTGTGACTTTTCTCTCTCTTCTCTCTCGCTTGCCGACTTCAAGGTGACGACTAAGAGTCTATGTCAGCTTCATCTCGCAACTTTGTTCCACAGATGTAAGTGCCATCGTTTGTGGGGAGTTCAGGATGCAGCAACTGACGAGATCCACGGTGAAATGAAGGTCTTGGGGGTACAGCTCCGTCTCTGTTATTGACTCGACGACCTCTTTGCTCTCGTGTACGCCTAACCTAACGGACATCAAGCGGCAATATTCTTTGTGCAATATTCTTTCGTGTGAGGAGGGCCTTACCGAACGGCTACCACCCATCTCGTACCTCATACTCGTAGGTGCAGAGTAGCGTGCAGAGTAGCCAGGTACTTCGCCAGTCCTGGTCCTTCGTCTCCGTCATACCATGGTTCAACTCTTATCCACGTCCGTGTCGTTGAAGCTAACGCTAGTCAGAATCGAAGGCGTACTCTCCACCCACGGGAAACCATAGGAAAACACGATAGACTCGAATCAGTGGCGAAGGACGTTTGGGGCCTTGCTGGATGTTGGGCTTCGATTCGCCAGACGTTGGAGGACTGTGCCGGCCTGACGGTAGCTGATCTACGAGACATGCCCCAGGTGTTGTGAAAATTCCGCCGTTGTTCTATCGACCAAATGTAAGAGCTTGTTTCGGTCTACTTTGTCTTCCGAGTCATATCCGTATGTGATGCGCAGGATCATATCTGCAGTAAGACTGAGTTTTTATTAGGTAGATGTAGGTTTGAATCTTTGTTCATGGTGACTCACCGAGAGATGAGGTAATGAAACTTCTCCGGCCCCTCTAAGAGCCGCTTCAGAAGCTGTCGTATTTCGTTCTCTTGAATCGTAGTCAACTTTCCAACGGCCCTGGCGTTTAAGCAATTGTGCAAGAGTCTTTGCTGCATCCTCAAAGTAGCACCTGTTAGACATGAACGGAATGAGCTAATTCCAGCCGATGGGGTCACAGACCATAGTGAAATGAGGTCGGTCAGAATAATTAGGGCTTCGTTTAACCAGTAGATCCATGGAAGTATCAGAAGAGCAGGGTATGATGACTGTGACCGACTCGGAGCAGAAATTCCCTAGAGGAAGACCACAGTCAATTCGAAGCGAAATCGAAGAGGGAAGAATACTGACCGTAGACTTCCCTCCAGCAAGCAAATGTTATCCAGGGTCTCGTCGTCGGCATGTCCAGAATGTTTCCAAGAAAGCGAAATCCCCATGGTCCAGGCGGAAGACGGAAACACGGAGTGGGCTTTGCCGGAGCAGTCTGTCCATAGGGATTCGTTGAAGAACACAGTCTCGCCATTTGCTCTGACGTTGCCTCATGACTTGGAGCTCACGTTCACGCGAATCGAAAAAAGTGCAGAGGATGCCGTTAGGTGTCCGGAAAGATGGGGAGTAGACGGATTATGGGTTCTTCCATGAGCCTCGAGAATTACTTATAGTGAATGATAGGGTTTAATTTAATACCGCATGCCAGCCCATGTACAATGTAAACAAGTATCCTAATACTAGTTCTAGAGATCATCACATTGGATATGAATCACGTAATAAATGATCACCAGGGCCTTTCGAGTCGTAACCGGATTTTAAGCGTGTTATCGAAGACGAAGACCCAAGTGACGTGCAAATGAATTCACCAGAGCATCAGTTCGGAGCCAATAGTTATAAGAATCGCTGCTAAGAGGCCCATCGGTATCGACGCGGAACCTGCTATTGAAATTGAATTTCCTGTCACACAGGGCCTAGTCGAAATCCTGCCATGCTGTTGCCCTTCTTCCAGAGGGAAAGATCAGTGACCGATTGCCCATTAACGAAGAACTCGAGGCGGATATCAGTGATGTCATTATGTTTGGGAACCTGGTCGAGGGAGGATGTCCACCATTGGAGGCAGTCGTTGGTGAGCCGGAAGCCGTTTGTGCCATCGAACGGAATAGGGATGATGATTTTTGATACTCCGGACAGCGAGGTGATAGGTGGCGCAGGTGCTGTAGCGGGGCCATGATTAGCATAGAATAGACAGGGTTTGAGTGTGGGACTGACCAAGGTAAAAGTCCTCGCAATCTATGTTCAGTTCACGAGGTAACAAGACCTCGACCAATCTGACCGCCCTTGCCTGTCTTTGGAGGTGTTGAACTTTCCATAAAGTAGTCGAAGACTCCTGCTCTTCCTTGAAATGGGACGCGAATATGGCGAGCTTCTTCCAGGAACTCAAAGATAAAAATCGCGGAGCATTGCACATCTTTGCCATGTCCAACATTTCACAGCCAGACTATGAAGCGCTCCGGAGCATTTCGGCGGACACGAATTGGTCATTCTTCGACGACATTTTTACATCCTTTCTAGCCGGTAGACGTAAACCCAATCTAGGTTTCTACCGCTATACGCTTTCTCAAGCGACCTCGATCCCTCTCGAACCATTTTCGCAGACGACAAGCTCGAGAATGCACTCTCTTCGCGTTCACAGGGACTATATGGCCTCGTCTACCGCAAGAGAGGAAGTGGCAGCATCTACAATGGATGAGGTGCTGATGTATGTAAACGAAGACGGGATCGTACAGGTGAATCTTTCTCCACCTTGAATCCACAGGTGAAACCTAACTTGCCTGGTTAGACGTACTTTGACCACACCCGGCCACGAATCGATCCTGTCGTCTGTGTCAATGTTCTCAGCCTCTTCTATTCCTATGGTCGAGGAAATGAGATGAACCAGACATTGGAACGGGTGTACCAGGTTCTTCTCCATCGTGCTTACCTCCAAGGATCACGGTATTACGAGACAGCAGAGAGCTTTCTCTTCTTCCTCTATCGATTTATCGGCGACTGTGATAACCCAGCCATCCATAGTCGTTTCTATCCACTCCTGAAAGAGAGTGTTATGGAGCGGATTGGGACGGAAGGAGACGGACTTGCCTTGGCAATGCGTCTAATTGTGTGCAACTTTACAGATGTGAAAAATGACATCGACCTCCAGACTCTTCGAGGACTCCAGCCCGAGGATGGAGGATGGGATACCGGTTTGATATACAAGTATGGGTCTTCGGGTCTGAGTATTCGGAATCGAGGTCTGACAACGGTAATGGCTATCCACGCTATCCAGCGTAGTAACTTCGCTAGTTCCTCACTATGAGACAACACGAGCGAGCCTTTAGATAGCAGTAGTAAGTATCGTTGATTATGTTGTAGCTTATTGATCTCATACCATTACAATCTCGTATCGGGCATCCCATATTCTTTACAGTAGCTGTAGCTGTATGAATATGCACTAGAGCCAATAGTCACTGAGAACGGCTCCATCATCCGAAGAGGTCGTCCAGGTGTACCGTTATAGCCAGTAATCCTGCGTCTGTTTGAACAGTCAGCGAGAATTTCTAGATGAAAAGCGATGGAATTTGATCACCTTATTGTAGTAAAACAACCAGATACGACCGGTCCAATACTTAGTGCTCGTCCGCGGATTCAGTTTCGCGCGACAGTGAAATAGGCTAAAATTGCGTTTCAGCGAAGCGGACGACTTGGCATGTAGATTTTATAAGGAAAATGAGGTGATCTTGAAGCATATAGAAAGGACTTTGTTGACCTGCCACAATAAAATAGCCAAAAAGCGACCGTTACAGTGCTGTACGCCAGAGAACTGCGGAAACGTTCTTCTGCAATACGAATGACCCTTAGCATGTACAGCGTTGTGGCATCCTGTACTGTTTTCAGTGTTTCATTGGTGCCAAATCGGAAGGAGCTGACCTTTGGCAATAAAGGTATCCTTCCTGATACGATTAGATCGACCCTCCGTGGTAGGTACCATCCAGCCATGCTATCCAATGATGAACAAAAGGGCCACGAAGAACACTAGCACATACCGATGATCGTAGAGGTGCTAAACGTCAAATCCTTGCTTGATACTTGCATTAGAAGTCGGCCTTAGGTCGAGTCGGTGCCGCCTATCGCTAGCCCTTTAAGCGGCACTACCACCACCAATCGACCACAAATCCGAAGTTTTCTTTTATTGCCATGCCTAGAAATATGCGTAAGAACGCTGACGAGGGAAGAACGGAGACTTTGCTCACTGAGCCCGAAGTCTTTGCCCAAACTGGCTGGGAAGTAGATTCACGCCAGTTTAGGAGGACAAAAGAAATGTTACAAAAGGTGTGCTGACTGATATTGGCGTGACTTTCGGGGACGACGCGTGATCTGACCGTTGGCAACGACATGCATCCTTCTTTCAACTGCCAGTCCACTACAAGGTCACATAGAACGGTTAGAGCATACGTTCACGGTACATGCTGGCCAGACATACAGTTCAATAATGAAAAAAGGTGTCGCGAAAAGTGGAAGGGTAGACTGACCATGGCAGAGCTGTTATCACTGATGATGTACCCAGCCGCTACTGCCAATGAATTGTCAGCCATTCGCAGTCGACCATATAAAAGGTCCTGTTCGCCACCAAAGATGTCTAGATCAAGCCTAAGAATCCTGGAAAGAGGAAGAGATGATAAGTTTGCTCACTTGGTCACAGATCCTCTCCGAACTGGCTTCCAGGCCTTTCCCGACGTCATCTAGGCTTTGCGAGGCAGAAAAATGTCGCAACAACGTGTACTAGCTGCTATTGGCATGACTTTTGGGGGAGACGCTGGAACCGTGTCGCGGGGTTCGCTAGGCAAATGCACACGATGGTGCAAAGCTACGTTACCCGAGACAACGGAAAACTACGACAAGGTCCCGGAATCCTGCCCTAAGGTGCACGTGACCCTACGCGTCTCCCGACTCAACGCGATATGTGGTGATGAAGAGAGCCGCGTTTATTTGTTGACGTCAGCAAACAACTTTGCCGTCGACCATCACGACGGCCTCGACCTTCATTTTTCCCTCGTCGCTACAGTCTGATCCTTCATGGTTGACGCGGCTACAGCAGACACAGGCTCCTTCATTGTGATTCTACTGGTCGGAACGGGTATCAACAAATGGCAATGCGCCTTGCTCAACGGGAGGCTAAGGTTCGTAAATCTGTGTATTAAGGCAGATTTCATTGACAAGCGTATCTCTAGAACCTTGAGCGATTCGATGATATCGGATTTCTTCGTGATCAAGAATGGCTCATATCGAGTATCGCCTCAGTGTTAGATATGAGAAGGACATGGCCATACCGACGTAACGATGAAGGAAGTATCTTTGCTGTCGATTCACCGAAAGAAGTTGTGGTAGTTCCTGTCCTGCGCGCCCAAGATGCGAAAATATAAATTTATATCCAGATATCCATTGAAAACTGTATTTTAGGGATCTTTAACCAAGCCCCCCCATCGATGAACGTGACAAAAATCTCTCGAGTCCAAGTATGCAAGCGTGCCCGAAGGACGGCTAACACTGAACTGCCACTTGTGTTGCTTGTGCCAAATACCAATGGCCGTACAGATATACTCGGTGCGTTCCTCTTCCCTTCATATTTAATTTCAGCACCTGAAATCATTTCCGCAGTACGGATGTCCGACCCTTGTGAATGTATGGCGACGTTCAATTGTGTTACCACGAGAACGGCGTGTCTGTTAATTTCAAAAATGAGGTGTTCGCACGTAAATATTCCCTTCATTTTTTAGCCAAAAACTGAACACCGACTAAGAACTCCTGCCCTCGAACTGATTTCATTTTTACTTCCGTTTTGGAATGCCGAAAATTTTTCTCTCTCCCTCTGAAATCCGCCTAAACTTCAGATCCAAGTCGTGGGGTAAAGTCAGAGCAAAGGGAGAGAACGTGTTCTTCAATGAATCCTTATGGATGGAGGGCTCAGGTAAAGACCACTCGTGCTCCCGCAGAAACATGGCTGTCAACGTTCTTTGCTCGTACATGGCAAAATTCCTTGCTGGGCACTGCCGTGGCCCCAGAGCGAACGGAAGCCATCCAGATTTCTGCCATCCGTGTTCCAAAAATCTTTCTGGGATGAAAGCATCAGGAAATTTCCAACGCTCTTCGTCATGGTGAATGGCGTAGATATTCACTATCAGTGAGGTACGCGCGGGAACGAAGTATTTTCCGAGCCGGACAGATCGATTCGACTGACGAGGAACGATGTAGGAAATCGGGGTATTGATACGCATGGCTTCGCGAATACAAGCAGTGAGATACGGCAGTGATATCCCGGAGAGTTGTTCGACGGTTGGGTCAAGATCGTCGCCCAGTACTTCCATGATTTCCTCCCGCGCCCGCCGCTGCATGTCAGGATGGCATGCAAGAAAATAGAACAATGTCGATATCGCACCGGCGGCCGTATCCTGATAACGGATGGAAGTGAATTCAATGCCATCGAGTGCAAGTAACGACTAGGCTTACGTGTCCGCCGATGAATAACACGATCATGTTATCACGGAGCTCCTTGTGCGACATGGCAGGGTCCTTAAGCATGAAGGTCATCATGTCGTCTCCCGGATTGTTCTTCTTGTCAGTTAAGAGCTGCATGAACCTCTCGACCAAGGTATCGATCCGACAGATGAGCTTCTTCCTAGGAAAGGTACGCTCCATCCATGGGAAGATAAGGTATATAGGATTGGCAATAGCGGCCATGACAGCATTGTACTCTTGGACAAATGGATTGTCCGTTTCGATAGCGTCGAAGTTGTGCCCGAGGACCGTCGAACCCACAGCGTCGAGGGCGAAACGTTGAGCGTATTTATCCCATTGCATAGTGCGGCACTTTCCCACAATGGCGGAAAGATTATGAGCGAGGGATGTGAATGCTTGGACGGGGATTTTGGCACTGAACGCGTCGTTAATCAAGACGGACTGTTTTTGCCACCGCTTGCCATTGGACATGAGGAGACTGGCGGAACCCACGAAACGCCATAAGAGAGAAGCGTCGTCCGGAGTTTCTTTAGGAAACAGAGCAGTGTTATCGCACATTTCGCGATATACACCATCCATCGGCCAAGGACCCACACTAGAACAACATGTTCATGGGTGTCCCTCGAAAAGGGGACGATAAGCCTCTTGATCCGACGATCTTCAGACTCTCCAGTCAGATAGCTCCAAAGGAGAGGAAGTATCGCGACACGAGGGAGATGTCGCAAGTGGGAAGGAGGAACTGTGATTCGATAGCAGCACAATATCAGGATAAATGCTGCGATTATAATCCAGATATACATCGAGAAAGATGTGAAGAGACTGTCAGCTGTAAGCGATTTAAATGTATCTCAGCACATCATCGTATGCCCCACTCCGTAGCAATGTCACGTTAGTCATAGAAGAAGCAGGCGCCAGCAAGTAAGCTACATCTGAATAGAAAGGGAAAAGGTTGTGTATCGTCGGATAATATAAGCGGCAGCGACAAAGGTGGCAAGAGCAGTGGTAGCCAAAATGACGACATGGAAGTAGGGGGAACTTTACGAGCTTGACACAAGTCACTATGGGCTATAGAGTAAAGAGGGGATGATTGTACGCTTTATGAGCGACCAGTGATCCGTGCTCTTTTTGAATGAATGGCCTCAGGAAGACCTCAGGGAAGGTGCTAACCATTCTCGCTACCGAGGACGGAATGAATTCCATCTAGGATGATGATGAGGTCTTCCATCAGAGTGCCAGTACCGCATGGAACGTCAGGAGGTCCGCCTGATGTGCCATGCTACAGGAGAATGAAAGTTCCGATTGTTATGAGATGACCTTGATGACTCGGACGCCTACCTCGTTAGGTAATAGGTAGAGGCTCGAGTCGATGAAGCTGGAGCATGAAGACCGTCCTGTACCCTAGTATTCCACAGATTGTTCAAGAGAGCAATGAATCTTTAACTGATGCCAAAGATATCATCAGGATGTCACTGATTGTTCGCCGACATCTGTGATTGCGTCAACGCATTGATTCCCGGGGTCTGCTTTCGCAGACTCTTATAGCACTCGTCAACTTTTAATCATGTTAGAGACGGCTTTCCTTCGAGTGCTATCAGTGTGAAAATAATCGCAGGACACGAGGCGACGAGCCCTATGGCATACCTTCAGTCCAGGAAGTCTTGATGTTAAAAAAAAAAATAGCAGATTGCTCCAACAAGATAGACAAAAATTTCGGTTCAACTGATGCACATTCGTCTTTTATCGGATTTGATTTCTTGAACAAGACGGATCCTTGAGAGCCTTCCATTTCGAAAGACTTTCCTATTAATCGAGACTATCATAAGGTTCATATCTAGACACAGAAAGGTCAGCGAGATTTGAATTCTGGACTGCAGGCTGCAGCCTATAGAATAGTACCTGAGACCAGACGAGCATCCGATTTTGCTGAACATGGAGGATTCGGGTCAGAGTACTTTGAATTAATTCACCAGTCGGTAGATGTTAGTGTTCTTACGCTGCACGGTGAACGTTCGAAGGGCTTATGTATTTTCTTTAATATTTAATATTGATTCACCCCCCCAAGTATCTCACACCGACTCCCACGCTCTGAGGTCTACATTAACTGCTATAAATCTCTGTTTAATCGTGCTTATTCGAACTTTGTATATTGAGCCTCAACAACGGGAGGCTGGGACCCATACGTATGTCTTACCAACAGTTACTCTCGGCGCCAGTACGAGTTAACCTTGGACTCAGAATTCTCAGGCCTCAAATCGCTTGCCGAAGGTCGTACAACAAATGATGACAGACACTTGAAATATCCGTCTACTGAGCGGCGATGAATGTCGTCGTTGCCAAATCTACAGTAACAAAGTGTCAGTCCAAAGAAGAGAGCGGAAGATGCTCAAGATACGGCTTACATGTCCATCATTCCGCGCTGACGAAATCAATAGCTACGAGGACAACGGAAGATTAGTCGGACCGCCAATGCGAGAAAACAACAGCCGTACCAAAGGTACTCATTTCTAAATGCGTTCACAGTTCCCCACCTTCAACAATTGCTGCGCCTTCCACGACTCCGTCACCGTATCCCCCTTCTCTGACCGCCCAAAGTCAATCAACCTGAACCTCCGATCCGAATGTCTCCTACACTCCGGCCAATCCTCGACGTCTCCATGCTGCACCACGATATTTCTTGGAAACACCGACCCATGCAACCACCCTTCGTGGTGGAAACGAAAGAGCAAGGAGGCGCATTCCTGCCTGTCAAAGAACACTTGTCAGGGAAAACGTTAAAGGTAGACAGCCAACGCGAGGCAAACCTATCATCAATGTCCAAGGTATCAATATCGATAGGCGTCCCGCAATCTTCCAATAGCAAGATCGGACTGAGGTATCCCCCATCATCATCATAAACCCTCTCCGGCACGTAATACCCATAGAACTGGGGAACAACCGCCCCGATGGGAGTCGGATCGTGCAACGGCGCCACGATGTTGTATCCGCTCCAATGCTGGAAGAAATGCGCTGGGAACTGCTGATAATTCTTCGCCTCTTGTTCGAGATGTTCATCGCATTCGAAGGAGAGCTTCGCTGTGACAAGCGTCCGGAACGTCGTCTTGTTGCTTCGGCGTCTTTCGTGCTCGCAATACGTCCCAGGACCCTGCCACCGTACGTCGATGTCAATCTCCCGCACCGGCCCTTCGCATCCCGTCTCTATCTTGCCGACATCTGACTCGCATCTGGAACCTACTCCACCCGACCGTCTGGCTGCCTCCATGACGAAGATGGATATTTGGTTCCCGATATATTGTGTCTCGTCCACTTCTACTTCAGGCATATCCTTCTTGAACTTCTCCAGCAACACACGGCAGGCGCATTGCTCACAAACCCTTGGCTGGAAGCTGGGTAGCCATGTACGAGGGACTTCCCACTCGGCACTGTACACGACGGAGTGATGCCCTCGTCCAACGATGCGCTCGGGTGAAAGGTACAGGTGCGCTTCCGGGGTGGAAAGTGGTAGTGCTGGCTTTTTGGAAAATTTGGCGAAGATCGCCCCAGAGCCTGGGCATGTGCAGCAAGATGGGGAGACGATGGGGGTTTCAAGAGAAGAGGGGACGAAGAGCATTCCGCCTTTAGAATGGGCGGCAACGTGCTCTTTCTGAACAGCCGCGCGCTGCCGAACGATATCTTGCTTGACGTGGGAAGAGACATAGAGTCGGTAAACGTGACTTTTCTTTGGTGGCCTGGGATAATCGTTGTTCAACGCACGAAGAGTACCACCGTCATCGTGGACGACAAGCTTTTCCGGTAAAAGATGATAGGGTATTCGCTGCTGAAACACGTAAACTGTTTTGTCCGGATGATTCTGAGGCCTCGTCGGAGCAACATTCTGTACAGGAAAATCAATGAAAGAACCGAAAGAAAGGGAGCATTGATACCTCTTCGTCATTCTCCATGTAGGCCACTACGAGTTGCTCTAATGGTCTCCAAGTCGGGATACCGGAGTCCTTGTCATCGAGAAGTCTACCGATGTCGCACGGAAAAACCTCTCGAGGATGTTCCTCCGCTTCGGCCCGCTTGATCTCCTCCTTCGCATGCTCAACCTCCCCAATCTCCTTCATCCACGCCGCCAGCCTGCTCCCGCACATCCTAGTTGTAACGCTTGAAGCTTTAGGAAAAGGCCGTACGTAATAGAAATCATCAAGTGTGGCGCCCCAGACTCGCTGATTGTTCTCAGCGACCTTGCCGCTAGGTAGGTCGGCCATCACAGGTCCATTGGGATCTCGGGGCCAGATGCAACGAACGACGCGCTGCTTGGCCGAAGGAGTTGGAACTGGTCTGCGGAAAGGTGCAGGCGCGGTTTTGGGTGGCGGTGGTGGCTTGGTTTCTTCATTAAATTGAGAGTTGTGGACTTTCATGAGCTTTCTCGATAGCATGCCACTCCCATTGAATCTTTTGGGAAGAGTCGGAACTGGGTCAGGTGGAAAGGCTGGGGCATCTTCGGGTGTTAGTAATAGCTTGGCTGCTTCCACGGAGTGAAAACTGAAAACGCTGTCGGTTTTCTTGCCGTCGCTGATTAGCATGCCACGCAAGAACTCCTCCAAGTTTCCCGGGTTGAACGACATCTTGCAATCCTTGAAAAAAAGTCAATAAACGGAAGAGAGAAAAGAGTGTGAAATATACCTACCAGTAGAAAGAGCTCTGCGAGAATTGTTGTGCGAGGACGTTAATTGCAGTCGTTCGTGGGGAAGGAGAGATGATAATGAAAAGAAGAGAACAACGCAGATCCTGAGCCGTCACATCAATATCGACGACGTCCTTTTCATGGACACGTGGTCAGATCTGAGTTCCGAAGCCAATATCGAAGAGTTGAAAACCATTGTATTCCCATATGATGGAGTAAATATGCTGAGAATGTTATTTTTCGCCCCTCCTTGTTCTTCAATGGTGGAATGAACGCCAAGGACGACCAAGGATTCGGATAACTATTGCGCGTCAAGAATTGATAGGGTTCTTAATCATAAATCGAAGCCACTCTAGTAATTGCGCCCCCAAAAGCCTAGATCCTTGATGGTGCCGATACCTAACGTATCGGGATCATGGAAACACAATAGGCCTCGAAATCTCACGAAATTTTGAATACTTGAACTTGAGAGATTTATCGATGCGAAACTACACCGATAACATGAGGATTGATATTCAACAGTGACGTTGAGCAGTTCTAGGAACGCACCGCTTCGTATGGTCATCGTAGCTCTTCAGTTCATAGCGAAGCCCCGCTAACGGCGACCGTTCATTCCGACATATCCCGTCAGATTTCGTCTATATTTTCGTCAGTCCGAGCTATGCCCACGAACACATAGAACGATGACCCTTTGTAGCCCATGGTGAGAACACGCTGGCTGTGGAAATCCATTCCATGGATAAGGTATCTGTGTACTCATTCGTGCTGCTGGATTGAATGTGTTCACTGCAAAACATATAACCGTTAAGCGTGCATCTTGCTAGTTGGACAGCAACATACCTCTCCTGTGATGATTTCATGCCAAGCCACTTGACGCATCAGCTTTCCGGGTGGAAATAACGATAATAACAGATTCCTCTGGTGGCTGAGGCTGTCATCCAGCACAAACGGCGCCATGGGAAGTGTATAGAGTGACTAAAAACGAGGGAAAACCGATATCAGTACAAATTTAATTATTCATAAGGTAAAGAAGTGCACCTTCCCACCGCTTCATGCCCCAGATATGCGATATCCTAAATACCAATTCGATATGTGGCCATGGAAGAGTCAGTTTATTGTATGTACACATGCCTGTCCAATGGCAGAAGAAGAATGAATATGAGCCTTTCACATCTTGAGGATTGAAATATTGACGGCATCAAGGTCTGGAGTAGAGTATGTCATGGACAGTAACAGTCGAACGGTCTTCGGCTGCAATTGTCGGACTCCAGTTCAAGTTGATCTCGGCCGATGCCCGGCATTTTACGGCATCCTGTCGGGTTCTATACCATTTCCCCCCATTTTCTGCTGTTCACTTCCGACATCTTCGGCGGGTCCGCTTCTACACTGCAGATTATTCATGATAAGGCGTAAACGCTCTCGGACACTCATACGACTCAGGAGACCATGTAGTAATACAATTACATTCCCAGCTCTCTCCTCTGAATCAACGCTTCCTTCAGAAAATAGTTTTCAGACCTTCCTAAGCCAGAAATGATCGTTGATCATACATATGTCTGTGTATGATTGTCAAACTACGAGATATGTACTTTATAATCCGGTTTGTACACAATGCGAGCTTTTATGCACTCGGATTTATCCACATTTTATTTAACTGTATCTGATTCAGAAAATCATGAGAATTAAGCACTTCATTATTTGTCAAAATGGCAAGTGATGCAGCGTACACTCTGGGGGGGAGCCCGCTGTGCCCAAATGACAGATGGGGAAAAATCAGCGACCTCCTCGGATACCCGAACCACCCACACAGCTGCCACCGCTTTCTTCAATCTAGGACAAGTTCCAGATGACACCGTTAGCCATTTTCTTGTTCAACAAGCAAGCAACAGAGCAACTCAACGGTACCTGGTCAAAAATAGCTGACTCGGCAACTCGATCGCCTGCCATCAGTGTACCTTAAGCTAACCATAGGACTGTAACAATGACTTTGTTCGCACTGGTAGAACCATTGTTCACCTCCGTTGCGATGTGGTCCTTATTGTCGACGAATACTCAAGGAGGAAAGTATTTGCTTCTGACACGCTGTGCTCCGGCTGCAAACTAACGCTTGGTGATACGGAAACCCTATATCCATCTGCGTGGGAATAGAAAAGGTCAATCTCTTTGTTTTTCTATACGTTCTAACCATCTGAGGTTTTAGTTGATGGATCCGTGCCTTCGAGTTCTCACGCAGCCTCCTCGGCGACCATTCTTGTTGCTCTCCGACACGGTGAATGTCATTCACGGTGTCACCTGTGTTCCAACATGTCGTGAGGTCAATAGTCTTCATTCCCACATCGGAATTTAGTCTATGGCAATTGTACCCTTATCCTCACAAACGTATAAGATCTGCAGGAAATCTTCTTCATTCTATCAACAATGGTAGGCACCATCTTCATGCAAACGGCTTTGTGGCTAAAAATGTTTGTTAACAGGATGACAACTATCTCCAAAGGATGATAGACCAACTCGCTGCCAAAGAGCTTATCTTTGGAGCTGGCGCGCATTTCTCTTGTTCCGAGGTCTACACCACCGCGCAAGCTTTCCTCAACATGCCCTCCATCGTGACAGAAATCGACCTCTACGAGACCACACCCGACACACTCTCCCAAGACGACTACCTCCCATTCCTTCTCACCCATCTCCAAACAACTGTCGGCAAAAATATCGGTTCACTCTCCTTCACCAGACTCAGCTGGCGTAACTTCAAAGACCCCGTTCTCTGGCACAACGCTCTCACCTCCTTCCCGGCCGTTCAAAACTTGGAGCTTTTCGATATCCAATGCACCGAAGCACAGTTCTTCTCAATTGTCAACTCCCTTCCCAGCGAGATGCGCCTCTTCGCGACCCAAAGCATACACATCGACGAATACGAGGCCCAAGCAGGACAGTTCATCCCTAGCTGCGACACTCCTGAGGAGATCAGTGCCGGGGAACATGGTCCACGGGCAAATATGGTCAATATGGAGATCGCTACCCACACCGACCTCGTCCTTTTCTCCCGGCTTGCGAGCCGTAACTCGCACTTGAAGATCAGCGGGGTCGATGACCTCAAAGTGAGGCAGTACGGCATCGCTAGACCTCCTTGGGATGCCTATATTTGCTCCCGTCTCTCTGCCATCATGCGCGCCATAGTCGAGCCGGGACAGATCCCTACGTTGCATTTGGGACCATTCGATTTTGGTGGGCGGAAGAGTCTGATCGTCTTGGCATTGATAACTAACTACAACGGTGCTAGCTTCGGATGATATTCCGGAGCCACTCTTCCTCAAGAACATCGTCGACCTGACCATCACTATCTCTTTGTTCAACGAAAAGCCTTGTCTCGACTGGTGGACTGCGACCCTGAACAGACTTGCATTCCCATGCACTATCGAGACATTCGAAATCAGGGTCGAAGTCGACACGGACGCTCTCCCCACTGGGGCCTCTTTTCTGATGGGTGTACCACCACAGGAATGGGCCGCGTTGGATGAAGCATTGTGTCACGCGGCGCCCATCATCGAAAAGATCAAGCTGTCGCTTTGTGGCCGCACCGATAAGCAGGACCCGGAGAATTACAAATGGGGCGATATCATGGAGTGGCTCGAAGATGCGTGCATCAGGAACGCGCAAGAGATGTACGAGAGGAAGGGGTTGTCTTATTTCGAGTCCGAGAGGGTGAATTGATAGGGAAAATCCATCATATCGGTAGCGTCCCTATTATTAGACACAAATAGTATTTCCAATATTTCTGCGAAACGATCTTATGTGGTTTGCTCAGTGCTTCAGTGAAGAAAAAGTCAAGACAACGCCTTCCGGCCCCGGATCCGGTAACTGACTTCATTAGCCGGATGTTCGTCGGGAACTTTTCATCTTATCTTTCATTTTTTCCCATAGTCATTGATTGAACTTGACACCTTTACGGGTGTGGCTGTGACCTATGGAGACCTCACTGGTATTTGCTTATTTTATAGTGGTATTTGTCCTTTCTGATGATTTATAGCGCTTGCCATTCTTGCTGCTAAAGCCCAAAGACACATAGGTATTCTCAGAGCTGCCGCCAAATGTACTCGACCACCTCATCCATAATTGTAAGGTTAGTTTAGCTGGTAATCCCTAATTTAGGGCGAGTCCCCTTCAATGATCGTATGAAAAAGCTGGATCGGAACGCGTTACCCTAAAAAAATGACACATGACCCTGATGTATCTCCCGATCCAATGGTTGTTTCTAGCCAACGTGGGCATGTACTGCAATACGATCTGGGGAGATTGTGTATATTTTTGGAAGACCTATCGTCCTGTCAATAGAGCCATCAAAGTTGGAGCTAGCGATAGTGTTTCTTCAATCGGATAAGCAGAGACTAGAAGCCAGCGTGATATACGAGGCATGCGGAACGAATTCTCATTCAAAAATGGCAAGTCGTAACCCCATGGATCTGAGAAGCAGAGAATGCCAATGGCGCCATAATTTGTGACTTGAGCGACCTTTTTACTCGGTCCGCCCGGTGTAATTCTACACTTTCCATGTGGCATTCGCACTTGATCCTCTCCTCTTCGACGTAGTTGGAGGCCATGTCTCCCAGGAGACATGCTACGCCCGTCTCGGACACGAATTCTCCCTCGATCCAGTCGACATTCGCAAAGCAGCCGAAGACTCCTGTCCCTCCCTGAAATGGGACACGAATCTGGAGAACTTTTTCCACGAACTCAAAGATGAAAATCGCGAAACGATGTGCATCTTTGCCATGTTCAATATATCACAGCCAGGCTATGAAGCGCTCCGGAGCGTTTCGGCGGATATGAATTGGTCAATCTTCGATGGCATCTTCACATCCTTTGCAGCCGGTAGGCGTAAACCCGATCTGGGTTTCTACCACTGTACGCTGTCTTAAGCGAATCTGGATGCCTCTCGAACCATTTTCATAGACGACAAGCACGAGAACGTACTCCCTGCGTGTTCCCAAGGACTACATGGCACTGTGTATCATGACTTAACAGAGCTGCGGCAGTCGCTATTCAAGAGAACTTCTCTCAGCTGCTCATCCTGGATATAATCCGTGACCTGTGAGTTCATATCTTGGGCACCATCTTAGATTTCAGGTGCTGACAGATTTTATAGATCTTTGGTCGATTTGGATGTGCCCAAGAAAGGGAAGTGGAACCTCTTTGCAGGCAGGTTGAACTAATAGATCATCATTGTTAGCTGAGTTGATAATGATCAAAGGGGATGGCCAACTTACAATGACTAAATATCCTTGTGACTTCGACACGACCTCACCTGGCTTCACAGTATTTCGAGTGAAAGAGGAAGTGATGGTATCTATGATGGATGTGATGTTGATGTATGTGAACGAAGACCGAATCATATAGGTGAATCTTTCTCCACCGCAAACCCATGGACGAAACCTAACGTGTAGACATAGACATACTTTGACCAAACTTGGCCACATATCGACCCTGTCATCTGTGTCAATGTTCTCAACCTCTTCTATTCCTATGGTGGGGGAAATGAGATGAACCAGACCTTGGAATGGGTATATCAAGTTCTTCTCCATCGTGCGTATGTCCAAGGATCGCCGTACTACGAGAAAGCAGAGGGTTTTCTCTTCTTCCTCTATCGATTTATCCGCGGCTGTGATAACCCAGCGATCCAAAGTCGTTTCTATCTGCTCCTAAAAGACAGGGTTACGGAGCGAATTGGAACTCAAGGAGACGGACTTGCGTTGGCGACGCGTCTAATTGTGTGCAGCTTTACAGATGTGAAAAATGCAATCGATGTCCAGGCTCTCCGAGGGCTCCAGCGTGGAGATGAAGGATAGGACACTGGTTTGATATACAGATGTGGGCTTTCAGGTCTCAGTATTGGCAACTGGAGTCTGTTTTCAATAATAGTAGTAAGTATAAACCTGGTAATTTCATACCATCATGTATCAGGTTTCTCATATTGTACAAGAAGTAGCTGTAGCGGTGCACATGAGTAGAGCCTGGGACTACTCGAAAGTTTTTCCTTTTCCGATTAGACCATCCAGTGCACATACCGTTATGGCTGGCAGCCTTACGGACATTTGAACAGTCAGCGAGAGTTTTTAGATGAGAAGCGGTGGTTTGTCGCGTTTCTTCCGTGAAACAGTCGGATAAGACCAGTCCAATACTTCCTAAGATACCAGAAGTACTCGCCCGCCAATGCAGCTTCGTACGATAGTGAAATACGAAGCGAAGGACCAGGAATGTAAATTCTGTAAGGAAAACGAGCACATCAAGACCCACTATTATTGGTCGCACCCTCATGTATGGATTTCTTGTTTATTCGATGCAGAAGAGTAACTTCTGTTCTAGATCAACACTACACGCATCATTCCTGTGGGACCCGAACCCACTGTCCAACCTCTGTAATGGTTGTGTAACGCCAGTCCAACAAAGAGTATCAGGTTAAATGTAATTGTAGGACGTCCAGAAGAATCCGAAAGATTGGTAAAACAATGCATGAAATATTAATGGCTCTTTGTACAGTATATATATAATGATATTGAAGTTTAAAATAAGTTGTCAATAGAAAAACTGTATCGACAGCCATCAAGACTTCACAGGACTGAGGTTTTTAAGGTGTTTGGCAGCATGAAGCTTGTATTTCTCTATCCAATCTTCTTCACTACCCGTTGCCTTCTCCAGCCAATTTCACTGCCATAATCCCGTTCCATACGTCTGCCAGAGAGCACGCACTAAAGCAGAAGAATCAAGCGCTTCAGGGTAGATGTCGTTAAGGAACACAGGCGGGGAAATCCCGCTTCAACTTTGGCCTAAATTTGAAATTCAAGCTGGGGCCTAGGCCCTACCCCAAGTTGCGTCTCGCAGGTCGAAAAACAACGATTTAAACAAAGGATAAATATCGACCGATGGTAATGTTACTCTGATGATGCGCGTCCCGTTACTTACCCATCAACGTACTAAGAACAGATGTAAGACCCCGCTTATCACCGGAGTGCACATTGCACATATTCTCCTGAGTCCTGCCACTAATATATCACTGCATTCCATTAAGTAGTCCGTTCAGATTTAGTGGACAGACAACAGCGACAATGGTCAACGTTCTACAACTGAGGAAATGATATTTAAAGTTTAGAGGTATCTCTTTCTCCTAGTGACTAGGACTTGAGCTTCATGATCGACACATAAGATGCTAAGTCTGATATCCAATCCGTCTTTTTGGTACTTGCGAAACTCTTCGATATGTTCCTGAGTCAATCCCCAACTCAAGTCCTTCCCTGGCTCCGACATATCCAAGGTGACGGCCGACAAGATCCTAGTGTTCCATCTAGAAGATACCATGTCAAAGAAAACATGATCAACGAAAGTACAGGGCGTGTTTATGAGGACATCATCGATAGCGATATGAAGTTTCCTGAGGAGAGGAAGAAAGCTTTGCTGAGTAGAGGGATAGGAAGCCAAGCGGTCAATGAGGGCTTTGAATATGCGATCGTAGCCGGTGGCCCAGCGTTGTGTGGAGAGTTTGAGAGTATTGATGTGTGGGGCGCAATGGAGAATGTCAAAAATAATGTCAGTGAAGATGACATCGACAAGCTCGAGTGATACGAGAGAACATTGCGAGCGTTCGAGGAGGCTCAGAAGATCTGGAAGAGCGTCATCACGACAAAGTTCATTCGGGCTAGGAATGACACGTATTTTCTCTAATTGGGGCAAGATTACGCTCCGAAATATGGCGCCTTGACATACCGTGAGATCGCGCAAACTTGATCGAAACGGAGGGGTAATGCTAATCGGTGCCAAGGATGGATAGCATATCAATTGCGTATGAAGTGTCTGTAGGTTTGGGCACCACCGAATCATATCAATAACACGGCGTACTTGTTGAGAATCCCCCCAAGACGTATAGTAGAAGAATGCGATGATATTATTCCATGGCAGTTCGAACTGGATGCCGCCGTAGTTGTTATGAAGCTCAACAGTACGCAAAGCGGGGGCGTCCTGGAATGCATCGATACGCCGAGGTGCCAAGAATCGATGACAATAGACTGTCAGGTGAGACAGTTTGTTAAGCTGACGGCCAGAAATGTCAGATAAAAAATGAATAACATCGCGATCAGGGACGATGGTTAAGTGCTCCCACCGCCACGACTGAGCAATCGCGAGCTGATATATTGTCCTCTTCACCTCGAGAGGATACCTGTAGCAAAGGGATAACTCCAGGTCCAGGGCGAGGTAGGAAGAGCGCTCCAATGCTATCTTGAACCTAGACGCGGGATCCTTCACGACGCCGTCATCGGCAAGTGATATATGTGTCCACAAAGTCGGTGTGTTGTTGGCAATTTGCCTCCAGGGCGAGCATATTTGCCCAAGCTTCCATGGGCCCCTCTGGTAGTCATTAGCATCGAAATGCTCGAAGTAAGAACCGTGGTCCAGAACACACATATGAAATATGTAAATGAGAATTTCGACAAAAAGTCGGTCGATAGGAGCTGGTCTGCGCTCTTCGATGAACGACATGTCGGATGGGGACATCGCGCCGGTAAGTGGATCGTATACACAGGAAACAATAATCTATGGTGGAGCACGAAACGGGACAGATGTAGCCGTCTGGTGATAGAAAAGTAACTGTTATATCATATCTTCAATGTTAGGGACATATAAAAGATTTTTGTTCAAAGCACGTACTGGTAAAGAAATGTCGCGTTTCAGTGAGGGTGGATCGATGAAAACCAACAACGGCAAATGCCGAGTGAATTTGAACTTAGATCGATGAATTTTCTGGTTGTCGGCCCCTTTTCCTTTACGTATGTTTTAACTGCAAGAGTTGCTGTTACTCGTTTGTATGTATTGTCCGGATTTTTTATCGCTCCCATATGAGCGTGATTATCTGTTGTAAATATAGGCCAACAGAAGAAGTAATGATCTGCGACTAACTCCAGCTAACAATTAACATCCTTTGGAACGTACATCTCTTCAAATCCCATTTACAGCCGAACGACTCGGTGAGCAGCATAAATGAAGCGACGTTGGCACCCCAATCTCCGAAGGCAAAGTGTACTGAAACGTACCGAAACCTCGATAGAATACCGGAGAAAAGAATGAACAGCCGGACTATCGAGTGGCCTGGATTCGGTCGCACAATGCGGTTTTGTCATACCAGATCCTGGAAATTCTCACCAGATTATGTTCACAAATTCATATCGGGAGAATGATGAATCGCCGAGCTGGATTGCAAATGATGCTGTCGTACTTAGCTCAGAGAACGATATTAATGGAATCAATATCGTGAGACTTAATCTCTTCGACGCCGATATTGATCTGACCTATTTTCCAACGTAGGGAAGTGACGTGATGCTTGGGGATATTGGCTTCCAACTTGGTGCGTCCAGAAAGCTGTTCCGTGGCTATGACTAATCCTTTCGTAGGCGTCAGCGTATTCTACGCCATTCTGCGCTGTGAGTTTCTTCTCAGGTACAAGTACGACCGACCTTTCACTCGGCACCGGAATCGGAACGTCTCCTCAACGACTCTTCCGTCGCCCAATTAACGCGGAGTTATGGACAAGAAAATAAAGTACATGATTCGAGCTTTGGCTTTCAACACTGTGTGTCTTATCATTCGGTATGTTAATTCGCAGTGTTCTCTTTTGTTTCTCACCTAAAGTCTTTGTACAGGGAAATTTACAGGACTATTGAACTCGAAGATGGGTGGAATGGGAAGATCATCCACACGCAGGTGTACTTTAGTGGGGTTTATTTCCTCGCGTCCTTTATACATGGCTTATCAACTGACTCAGATGGCTTCGACGGTGCTATGGTCATCTTGGCAATCTACACCTTGAATTTTGCTCATCCTGGACGCCTGATTGGAAGAGGGATGGGTAGAGACCGAGCCATCGAAGATCAGAAAAGTGAGAGCGTTATTGAGCTAGGTGCAGCAACCTAGATTCAGGGATAAACGATGTTTCATTCCTAACACGTAAATCGACGGACAGTAAAGAGTGGCTAGCTATACAGAAATACATTGTGGATGGATCAAGAAATAAAGGAAATTACATATATAACTCCGCCTCCAGAAAGGACGCCGGGTGGCACGATTAGCGACCCCAGCCTTTCCCTTCGCACTGTGGACATAACGCACTGGCATACATATCGGAGGGTAAAAAAACCGGTTTGAATTTAAGCGCGACGACTGATCTTGAAAGCACCACAAGCGGTGGTTTTATAATAAGATCAGTATTATATATGCATGAAATGAGATTTTTCACCTGCTCGGGCTTGGTTAAACATTCTGGAAATCTTGACTTCATAGGATATCCGGTCAGACATAAACATTTATGCACCTTGAATGCGCGCAGGACAGGAGACAATAAAACTTCTTTAAGAAGTGGACATAATACAAAGCAAAGGTAACGTTTCGTCGTGACGTCGATTCGGCCATTCTTTGAGGCCTAGGGAGCGCTGGGGTCTCCATTTTTTTTTACAGCTACAAGGTCTCTCATCGGCCACTTGAATTAGTTTATCTAATGCCGAGCTGACGGTTCGGGCACCTGGTTGCCCGAAGCTCTTCCCCGTCAGGAAGAAATCAAGCTATTATCGGCTAAATGCTTTAGAGGTACGTTTCTCAATCGATTTTGCCTTGATAAATAGATTTACGAACCTTGGCTGCTTGTCGGGCGAGGTGCAGTGCCAGTTTGTAGATACTCGCTCCAACCAGTAGAATCGCCAAAATGAAGGAGCCTGTGTCAACTGTAGCTGCGTCAGACGAGCCATGAAGGGTCAGAACATAGCAGCAAGAACAAAACGAAGGTTGTTGTCGTCGTGATGGTCGATGGCAAAGGATGTTTGGCGACGTCAACAATCAAACCTGGCTCTCCTCACCACACCTGCACACAAGTCGAGACAATATCGTCTCGTAGATGTGTCTGCAACATTTTCTTGGAGCATCTAAGGCGTACACGATACCGAAGAGCGGCTTGGCTGCCAGTTTGGACGAGATCTCCAGTGAGAAAGCCTATTTCTTCCTCTCTTCACTGTTCTTACACTCAATTCTAAGCCTTTGTAGGCGGAGAACGAAGTCTGTTTATCGTCTCAATTATAGGAAATCACTGAAGGGCTGGCCCTCTTCTAAAGGGATCTCTTCCATTACCAGAAGTCGGTCCCGGTCGTTGGCAGTAGCTCTTCGTGACATTTGTTCGTCTTTACTAGGTAGTACGCAGGAAGGTTCTATGCGCCTTGCAATGGTCTGGTAACTCAAAGAAGGATGGAAGTTAGGTCAGATCCTTCCTATATGCGCCAATATCACTCTGGTTGATATAATCTTAAGTATGAGTGATCCGTGAGTGACAAGACAGGTAGAAACACAATAAGGCTTACAGGCCCTCGGTCTCAGTCTACTGTAGGCCGGTCCAAGAATACGGATAATTGCACCGAGGGTGATGAAATTGGCGGCAACAAGAGGCGTAGGTCCGATAATTGTAGCCGTTATTCTGTTCAAATTGGGGAAAGTACGATCTAGGTTACAAAATGGTTGAGCATACTGGATGGTATCGGGCGTATCGAGACGCGGAGAGATACTCGACCAAAATCGCGCACTCCATCCCAAGATGTCCAAGCATCCAGCTAAGAGGACGGTCGGGATTATCCAACACGTGCGGTAGTACAAGCCTTGGAAGGTGTGCGTCACTAGCCAAAATAAAAATCAATCCGCGGCTAGAAAGGTGCGCCTACTCATGCGTAGAAATACCGGATAGAATGACAAACATGAGTGTGACGCCTTTGGTGGGTACATATCCGTATAAATCGTCATCATTCGCTTCTTCTTGAGAAAAGGCCTTAACTGGGATGAGCTAGTTAAGAATCAGCTATAGATGCGGAGAAAAAACACGCACGATGATCTAGAATCATGGTGAGAGAATGAAGATGAGGGAACACGACGAAGCAAAATCTTTCGTCAATGCACTTTCAGAATGAATCGCTATATCCTCTCTCGAGATTTCATGATATCCGCAGCTAGGAGTAAATGCATCGCCTCCTTCGCATACATCTGAAAATCAGCCAATGAGCGGGGTGTCTTGTCCGGGCGCCATGATTGTGCCCATCGAAACAGGATACAACAAGGCTTGAGATCCAATAGCGTTACAGACTTATATATAGCTCCAGAGATGTCCAGCGAGACCCGTATTCATAACCTTGGATTCGATCTAGGAAAATAACTGAGTTTTAGTACACAGGCGAAGAGCCTTAAACGTTGGTGCACCCAGGGCTGCGACTGCAGATTGAAACATCGACACCGCCGCACCACCTTGCGAACCATGGCAGAGGTAAGAAGGTCCGCAGCAGCATATGTATGAGGAAGAGAACGGTAGGCAGGTCGTAGAATTGTATTAATACGCATAAGAAATCTGTCCAGACGACAAGCCTGAAACCAATTCCAGGTTGCGCAGTAGCCAGCCGATGTTTTGACTGTAGATTGGTCTAGCGTCCCCGTCATTCGGCTTTCTCCTGGATGACAAAAAAGGGCTTCGGTTCTTTCCTAGAAAATTACGAACGACAAGACCAGATTGCCTGTGGAATGACCTCGTAAATGGCTGAGAGGACCATAGAGCCAAGGGATCTGCGCCACATTGTCCTCATTTTCTCTCAGAAATGCCTGAAACGTGAGCGAAGGAAGCTTGAGGTTCTCGTTGTTTGACCGAAGTTGTGAAGTAGCGTTAGATGCTTAAGCTAGACAGCAATTATGACAAGCAGAAGAGCCTGTTCAAATAAAAATAAGAGCGAAGGAAGTTAGGGGAAACGTCCTGCTAGTGAATTCGAGAAAGAAGGAGACATGGAATGCGCGGTGTTACACAGATCCCAAATTCATTTTGGTTGTATCCGGCTTCCCGGATAGGCTACCCCACTTTTGTTCTCTCTAAATATAGAGCCAACCAAAAACAGGCAATGCGGATGGTCTGAGGAGAAATCATGCTGAAATCGTACGCTGTTGTGCAATCGAAAACAGGAACGCTACAACCCGGGCCGGCTTTGCGGAAGACCGCGTACCACGGGCACGTGCCCAACTCCCTTCTAAATCTCAACTTGAACCTTGTTCCGTTCTCGTGAAGAAATGTAAAAGAAACGTGCAAAATCTTTTCAGTGAACAAGCGTTGTTGTCATCAGGCTCTGGCCCCCTGTTACTAGTTGATGAGTGGCTTATCTATGTAATACAGAACAAAGCAACTCCGCGACTGATGCTACTTCCGGGCGTTCCTTGTTTCCGTTTCAGTACATGGTATCTGGTATATATTCTGGAACAGCTTGCCTCTCACGCCTCCGTCAAACAACTATGGCTCCTTCGCGAAGAGTAAGTGGTTTCTCTCAGTTAGGCTTTCTATATTCTGAGTTTTCACATTTCTCAGCGCCGCAGCCGCCGCTCTCACACGATTGAAGAGTTATTTTCTGCGGACATCCTCAACTTTAACAAATTTTCTGTCCGGGAAATCTACAACGCCCTTCAGCAATTTCCCAACTTACTCTCGCGCGGATTCGCGATGCTCGATCTCTATGCTGCTGATCAAGAAGTATATTCGGATCCATATTATCACGCCATCATGGATCTTCTGAAGAATACGCGGCTCCAAAGTATCGGATGCGCCGATATGTCTGTGTCACCCAATGAGGTTGGCGTATGGCGAGGCACTTTTCTTAACGTCACGAATCTCGACTTGCTTCACGTAACCTGTAGCACGGTCCAGTATCAAATTATGTTGGACTCTGTACCGAACCTGGAATCTTTTTGGACAGAAGAAATGCACATTACTACCTTGGCACAATGGGTTAATTACAGTAAATTTGACGCCATGGTCGAGAGACCGGAACAGTGGGGGATGATCGGGCGAGAGCAGAAAGGCGTTCAGCTGTCCGAGCCCACATTAACCATAATTACACCCGATGATGAGGTGTTGGCGACCCGGTTTGCTAGTCGACAATCCCCATGTCGGACGAGTGGGTTGAGCTCACTATTCTACCAGGGCAACAATAGTGAACAGGTGACTGTGTCCCTCTCTGTTCTTTTGGCGCTCGCTAGAAATGGGGTAGAGTTTGTTTGCAATGGATATAACTCAGGTATCTCTACGTCTTGGCTAGTTTAGCAGCAACGTCGCGTACTGATCATCGTCCTAGAAAGCCGGATTCCCCCACTTATAATTCCTTCGAAATACATCTCTGTTTTCGATTGCGTTTTTGAACTGGAAGATGACTGCAAGACCGTTCATCCCCTCGAATGGCTCACCAGATCGTTCAGCATGGTGACGACTCCAACGCAGATTCAAACACTGATTATTACGATGGATCCATGCAGCGACATCGACGAATCTACACTTCCAGATCCGGATGATCCGATCGTAGGGATGTGGAACGAGCTGGACGAAGCACTTTGTCGTTGGCAGGTCTCGTTTCGTGCGTTGGTCTTCAAGCCTGGAACCCCAGATGCTGCGTTGTGGAGCAGAATCGTTCGGTGGCTGGGAGATGTCTGTCTCCCAAAAGTTAAAAGAAGGTATGAGGAAATGGGACCAATGCATTTTCAGGTGAGACCATTCGGGTACATATGAAAGAGTCGTAGCAAGAAGAGATGGGCGGCACTGGAAAGTTGAGCGGCCAATAACAGAATATATTTGTCCAAACTTAATTACACTGGGAACAAGCCGGAGTGGCAAAGCCGTTCCAAAGAGATATCATCACGATGAGAAGAGTATGACTGCCTCTATTATCGGTCCTAGAATTATATTCAATTAAAATGTCATGCATGTAAGACTGTTGTCGGTAATGAAAGACTAAGGATCCCATCGAAGACTGAGGCCTTGATGGTTCTCGAAACATTGGACCAGAGCCTCGGATTTGAGCCACTCGTCATAAAACCTCATGTTGAAGGCAATGTCAGAGAGGTCCAGAGGTCTAGGCACTACCGAGAACTCAGTCAATTTGAACTTCTGGTCCGACAAAATCTCGTCAAAGATAATCCATGAAAATGCCTTCCCTCCCGTGGGCAGGAAAGGATACGTCTTTGGGGCAACATCGACCATGATACAAATATCAGTGAGATTGTTTATCTCTGGGACTTGCTTAAACATCGATGCCCACCACCGCAAACAGTCATTTGTGTGCTCAAAGTTATATTCACCATTCAGGGGAATCATCACCTCAAGAGAGTGGACACTAGCAAGATTAAGGGGTGGTGGCCGTGCTGTATGACCTGCATATTCAGAAACCGATACCCGGTAAATGGGGCAAAAGGCCTACCTAGATCAAAACTCACACAATTAACCGACAAGTCGCAAGGTTCCGCGATGTCGATCAGAGTTGCAATCTGACGAATGACATCCTCCCCTCCTGTACCTTCGATCGCAAGAGTTTCAAGGCGGCGAAATGAGACGGGGGAATTTATCCTTATAAAAGGGTCAAGCGTATTGGTGGTGCCTTCGCCAACAGAGATAGAGAAAGACGAGATTTCAGGGCCGTGCTGATTATTCCGGATGGTTTGCGCATCGAATGCTTGGATGTTCGCATGCACGGCGAAGATGTTGGTACTAGTAAGCTTGACTTCATCCAAGGTCAGCTCCGTGAGTTTCGGAAATGCGCGTATGAGGGAGAAAAGCTCGATCCCTCCAAGACTGACAGCCTCTAGCTCAAGTGAGGTGATGTTGGGGAACGCAGTGATAGTGAGATGCCACCGAATGGGAGACCCGAAATCACCCCAACTCAAACCACTGAGGAACATGTTGGTTATCGAAGGGTGGTGTGAGAGGGCCTCTACGAATGTCAGTAGGAAAGGGTCGCTATGACTGTCCAAAGGGCCCAAGCGCTGGATGTTGATCCATTCGAAGTGACGTCCAAGGACATCATCGAGAGAAGACGCGGAGCGGAGGTGGTGATATAGGTCCTCGCAAGTGGCTGGTAGGCCGTAATTTGAACTGATGAGCGTGTAGGGCGAAGACATTTTTGAGGCAACTTTTATGGAGAAGCACTGGCAGTATATGTGGGGCGTTGGTGGGAGACGAAGACTCGTGAAAAGCCACCAATAGTTATTATATGAGGCCTTGTTACCTGCGACCAAGCCCGATCCATTGTGACCAAGACAACATTCAAAGACGAAAAGGGAATAAGCAACAAAAGCCAACATCGGAGAAGGCCAAGCTACTCTACCCGAAGGTAGAATCGGGACGGGCATGTACTAAATAGGACCTGTCTGATCTCTGTCGAGACGGTCGATCAATGGTCCGAGCCTCGGAAAATGTGCAGACAACGTTCCCTGGATGGGTTCAGTCAGCTTCAGCAGGCTAGGGTGACAAAATCCATAGCAACAATGCTTCGGATACAAGTCAAGAGCAGCGAGGCGCTGATAGTTATCCTTTATCACGGACCTCGTGGTTGACGTCATTTTTGAGTCGGATTATGCCCCCGCATTCACGTTTGTCGCTAATCGCTGATAATTACTGTTTTTACTCATCCTGCAGAGATATAAAGGGTCGTCATTATTAGCATTGACTAATAATTACCTGGCTAGCTGACCCATATTAGCTGGCAGCTGTTGGCCGAATCGAGGTATTGTAGCGTTCGGGCGTATCTATCAAATTCTGTCGTGTAGGTCCGTTATATATATGATCGTTTATCGTAACGTGTGCTGCAGTTCGAGTCACCAGGAATCAGGCGAAAACAACATCATGAATTTCAATAAGATGACCAACACCATGCTATCGACAACTACATCCCTAGGCATGATCTAGAGAAGATCCGACTGCATTCCAAGTGTGACATCTCAAAACGGATCGAATTTTCGGTTCCGTCGCCATCAGCCAGAGGAAGCAGAGGAACAGAAGGAGGTCATCCAGTGACAGCGAAATCCTCTGACCATCTCGTAGGACTTAATACGAACCTCCCCCGAACACTGCGATCCTATCCTAGGCTTCATGAATGTCAGAGAGACCGCAGATCAACGCATTTATAACTGTACATTCACATTCCGTCAGGCTCTTTGTGCCCCGACCCGAAATTTCAGAGTCTTTTCAGAGTCCTTCGCTTGTCTGAAGACTGGCTGTAATCATCATTACCTGCAAGTTACTTAGTCCCGTTGAATGTTACGCCTTAGTTATATCTCACCAGATATCTGAATTAGAATAAGGATGCATGTCGGCGGCATCATTTTCCCACCGCAGCTTAGTGAGCGGACATCTACGGCACGGTATAATTGTTAGCAACAGCTTGTTTCCGAATCCCTATTTTTGTTTGCCTCCTCCCATACTGTCCTCCATCATGCTTCTGATTCGCCGACCCTCTGTCGGTATGCATCGAAGTGCCCGACTGAGGTGTCCACAGGGAAGGAGGTGAAGTCAAGGCAAATCACCACCGCCGCGCCACTCCCATGTGCTTAGGAAAACTTTCTCGCACAATGCTGTTATCCTCTTCGGTCAGATAGTACCATTGCACAACCCATTGGATAAAGAGGTAATCTCGTGGTTTGGGATATTCGGGGTACCCCACTATACAAAACGTCAGATACGAGGGTTAGTGGGAACAAAAAAAACATTGAACATGCCCTTCCGGCGTGCCCGTTCCTGCGTGCAGAATGGCACGATGCGGAGAAGAATTCAGATCCACAACCCGTGCATCGTAACATTCGCCTACTTATTTCTGGCGGATTCACAGGTGGATTCGGGATATGGCACTGAAGAGATAAAATTAGGATTAGTGGCTGGGCTGCAGTCCTGTTCAACGGCGACCACCCAAGGGTTAGTCATATTGATGAGCAGTCCCGGGAATGAGGTGGTGAGGGTCCTCTTGACCTCATCTAGGGATATCATTTCGTGCATGTATTGGACTGGGTAAGTCGGCGTGTTCGCAAAGTAATCCACATCATCAGGGGCGATCGACTTTATAAAGTCTGCATATTCGACAATGATGTTGTCCATGATGTACATGCACCATGGGACAAGTCGAGGCCAAAAAGCCATGAATTTCTGGTACGCGTGAATCTTCGTGGAACTGCGATGACTGCGATACAATACGATATATTCCCGAATACAGACATGTATTTTCAGGAGCATCGTAGTACGAGCCAATCGGTCAAATTTTTCTGGTATAGAGAACTGAGCGAGGTAGCCGTCAACAAGAGAGGTTATTCAGGTTATATTAATTGGCGATTCAAGAATGATATCCATGATATCCCTGACCTCCAGCAGTGCAACGGCGGCGGTTCTGTCCACTGCTGCCCTGGCTGGATATCGTCTTCACTAAGAAACCATTAGTATTCTGCATAAGCATGAAAATTATCACTTTACATATCTGCGGTTCATAATTGCGGAACTAGTGTGATGGTGGTAGTGAGAGACTGAAGCTGACGATGGTAACGCAACATCGCGTGGGTACAAAGTTCATAATTCCGTTCGCTCCGATACCCCGATTTGCTTCTCAACATTAATTGCAACCATACTCATCGCCTGCAGCTGATCTTAAGCTCTTCAAGGCAGGTCACGATACAGAAAATACTCCCTTCGTCTACACCATTGATGCTCCTAGTATTCAAGGATGTTCTACCCTTGGACAAGGCTATGTCCATAGAATGTACAATAATAACCCGAAACTGAATACTACTAAGGTTCCATCAAGATCATTCAAGAACGAGCTGGCGGAACGAGATGATCAAAATGATAGTTCCATGAGAGAACGAAGAAAAAGATGACACAAACTGGCGACTGCAGTACCGCAGTGAGGTGGCTTCGCAGGGATGACGAACAATAGGAATTGAGGATAAATAAATTCGTTCTGACCAATCTTCGGGACTTGAGATCATCTGAGAGATCAGTACCTAGGCAACCATCAGCGTCTTAAAGCGCTGTATTTTGGTACCTGACTGATCATCCAGATAGAACAGCTCCAGTTTTTCAGATAGATGGAAGCAATACCTGGATCTCTGGACGGAGCAAATTTCTTGAAGATCTTATCATGTGAGGGAGTGAGGTTAGGATCAATGATGACATTGTGAGAGGCCGAGTTCTCCAGCGCCCGAAAGGGGACACCCAAGGCAACTACGGAATATACGTAGGACAGGTAGTAGTGATAGAAGAAGAAAAACAGGGAACGGATAGAAGGAAAAGAAATGTATATAGGGAGGTGGGTGGGAGAGAAAATTTACTACGTTTATGACTGCGAGCGACAGAGAGTGAGAGGGTGAGGAAAGGATCTTGGTCCAAGTGCGACTATATATCATAGATGAAAACAAAAAAAATCGGATCGATCGAAGACAAGAAGTGGGACGTGGCGCGTCAAGATGACGTCAATCTTGCATTGACCCTGAACAACCATCCTTGTTCAATAATCTTCATGGCCGACTGGCAAACTAGATTGAAGAGATATCCCTCCTTTGGCCGACTTTGTGGCACGGCAACTTGGTTTCCACGTCACCCCACCGAGGACGGCATCGAACCTGAAATAAAAAGAATATAAAAGAAATTATAGTTTAAACCTGGTGTGTAGCCGTGACGATGCCTATGGAATGTTACGAGTCATTGTCAGCGAAGCGAATGGATTAAATCAAATACGGACCCCCCCCCTGTTGGCTTCGTCAATCCTTCCTCGCGCCAAGAATGAAAGCATCACTTAAATTTTAGTAAGAATGAAGAAACAAAGGCAACAGAAGAGGGATGGTGGGGTAGTGTGGTCGTCAAGTAGCATGCCGCATGAAGTCGTCACCGTTCGCGACACGTCGCGAACGGTCGGGGCCGGATACTGAGTACGTGACCGTGAGATCCCTGCAAATAAATTTGAATTTGGAATCATGCTCCCTATTTTCCAGTCCCCGTGCATTCTGGTCATCTTTGTCGCCGGGCACTCAAAATCCCCCTTCCGACGCTATCTCGAAGTCTTCCAACTTGAAGCTCCCATCGACTCCCCATCGACAATATACCTTTTCGCCCGATGGAATCAAAGTTCAAGAACAGAAGAGGTGCAAAAAAATAGAAAAAACGTACGCGGAATCTTCCGGCCTTGTTTTAACTCCCTGCGTATAGATGCAAATTGATAATTGATCGCGTGTTCATTAAAGCCCCAACTGAACTATAATCCTTCGACCCTTGCTGAATACCGAAAATAACGGGTATGCATCGACATTTGCGTGCTTTCGTGAGTTCCCTAAATCATTAATCTGAAAATCGAATTTTAACGTCATTTTGATACAGGCATCTATGACCGAGCTCGGCGCTGGAAGGAAACGGATCTCTGCTCAATCTACCCATCTCGGTCGAACAAATGTATCTGTCATTCTGTGCTGTGACATCTGGCTTTCCCAGATACCTGTCGCTAGATTGCGCTCGTCACTGATGGTAACCTCCGAGCGCATCTTTTCATGTTTTATTTCTGGAATGATTGCTCGAAATTGGAGCCAAGATGCTATGCCCATATCATAGGCGTGTTTTTCGTCCCAGCAATGACCGGTTTCTGCGACTTATCTTCCCGGGTAGTCAACGATAGACAATCGGAAAACTTCCGTGATGAAACTGTTGTCAGTCTGTCCTATCTGCTGTTTGATTCCACATGATGGTTGATTGTGCGTCAGTAACAGATATGCAGACCTCAAGCTAAAGGTGGCTTGCCATGCGCTGTCACATAAAGGGTCGCAGGTCATTCTAATATCGTTGACCCTTGGAGTCGCGCGCGGGATCGGGACGCGGGAAGCGCATGGGTTCTGAGCAGCCCTACTTCATCCGCCTCGCGTTTATTAATTGCTGGCGGGGACCTGCTTAAGGGGATAACAGATTCATTGCACGATCGGAAACCGTTCCTTGAGACTTCGGTACCGTTAGTGTTGGGGCACTGCTTTTTGGATTGATTCCATGGTCAATCCTTATAGGGTGCTGCGTTCTTTCATTACAGCACGAGGCAGGTATCCAGACTAGTACGCTCCAATGTCTACTGGTACCACATACCCGGTCATAGCTGAACGAGAGGTATTTCAAGTTCTGCGTTGTGCCTGCACCTTTGTAGAAGGATTTTCGCAGGATCCCAAGATCTTTGTGTAAGGATCTAGCGCTCTGGGCTCGGAATAATGTCGTCAAGGAGAGAGATCACATTGTAGCAACCGGTGATCAGACAAACGAGGATTCCGCAAATTTCGGTGACTCATCATCGCTGACAATGAGGGGCTGGGGAGAAAGTTCGAGCCGGCGGGATGCCACGTGATAGAATCTGTTGTCTTCCCCCATCACTGCGAAATCCCGACGGCTGTTCAAGATGTGAGGGCATTGCTACTAGGACAGAAGGGCTTATCGAACCGAACTTATGGTATTCATTTAACAAATCCTTGGATTCCGAGGGAACTGATTGCCTTCGTCTCATTCGCCGTATCAAAGATTCAATTGAAGCTGGGTCCCGGTTAAGCAACGCAACTCCGTTGCAACATCCAAAAGATGAATACAAAGATGGTGTGTCCATTGAATTGTTGAGCTTCAAGTAACATCTTTGTTAAAGATTGACACGTTCCATCGTCATGCTCGAAATAGACAAAAAGCTACAAAAACTCGGAATAGCTTTCAAACAGTTGAGCCAAATACCTGTTTCTGGTCAGCGCCCACTCATTATTTCCCCCGGCTTTCGTAATAGGGCAAGCAACTTACTGCAACGTTTTTCTCCAGGTCTCAGGCCACAGAAAATTGGAACTTTTCTAAAGAAGGAGAGCGGAGGGGTACGCGAGCTGCCTAACGCCACAGAACTTCTCGAAAAAAATCTGGATTTTCCAGTTCGCCGATCGGTATTTGTTATCCTCAGGTCTTCCCTGATGATGTCAAACCGCGACAATGCTGTAATCTCGCGTACGACCTTGTACCTCCCGCGTATGGTATTGTTCGTTGAATCAGATGCTTAAGCTTGCTTCCTGATACGCATCCAGATCTCGGCTGATTGCCAAGGTATCCGGGCTAGCCCCGGCTACTCGGGCAGCCTGCGACCGTGCAATCACTGGAGAAATTCTCCTGGAATACGAGCACGTCTGGAACGGACGACTCTATTCTCCCCACGTTTATATCGAATGCTGCAAAGTTCGACTGCAAGTGGGTGGCGGTGACCTTTTTCCGTTTTGGTGACGCCGTTGCTCTGATCCGACTGTCGGCGGCGCCAGATCAGGCATTGCTTTTTCCCATCACTTCCACTGTCTCCCAAGAACGTACCCACTGTCATCCGCCGAATGAATTGTAGCCATAAGTACCCAGTAAGTTCGAGACTGTATGGTATGAATCAATGATACTAAACATACCGTCGTCTTCTAGGTTCACATGCCGCAGCTGCATGGCATGCCGGGGGTCTCAGCCTTATTGTTCCCATCCAAACCCAAGTTCCCGACTGAGCTCAACATTGATATCACGCATCAGCATCCGACGTCCGTGCAAGCCGCCCGCTGCTGTGCGAATGTCTCCATGGGACTCGAATGTGCCTATGCATGTGTCTATAAACCCATTCCTGTGACGCGGGAGAGCTGCCCTCCGACTTAAGGGACGCATACACTGCGACGGATCGCCCATTACCAATTGCTCCCTCACCTAATTTCGAATCTTATTGTCAAGATACAGATTTGGTCGTCCCTGAATTGTCTTTCCGAGGAAGCACAAAAAGCCACTGCTATTTCGCCGTCCATATATAACAAGGCACTCATATAAACCTCGATATTCGTTTTTTTCTTCTTCTGCGTTCTCTTTTCGCTTTCTGCCGCTGCCGCTATGGCTTCTTTCCTTCTCTTGGACTATGTCCTCTTCCTTGCTAGCATATATTTTCTTCAACGTCTACTTTCCAAACGACACGCACCTCTACCTCCTGGTCCTCGTGGTTATCCAATCATCGGCAACATGTTTGACATGCCCACCGACCGCCCATGGCTAACTTTTGCCAGATGGGCTGAAATTTGGGGTAGGTTTGACTTTTTTTTCTGCTTTCATAACTGAATCCTGACGCGTCGCGACAGGCGATGTCTGCTCCCTGTCAATGTTTGGTCAATCTTTCATCGTCCTCAATTCGTACCGTTCCGCCTACGCACTCCTCGACAAACGCAGCGTGATATACTCCGAGCGTCCAAGTTTAGTGATGGCCGGTGAGCTCATGGGTTGGAACGATATAATCGGCTTGGCTCCATACGGCGAAACCTTCCGTGCTCATCGCAAACTCCTCCACTCTGTCCTCGGCAGCAAGTCAACGATACGGACGTTCTATCCTATGGAGGAGCAAGAAGCCCTGAACCTCATGAAGCGGCTGCTCGACTCTCCAGAAAAATTGCATTCGCATATTTCTCAGTGAGTCGTGCAATGTCTGCCTGCCGTAACGGGGAAAAAAAAATATTGATCGGTTTTTAGGGACGTCGCGGCATTGGTCCTCCGCATCACCTATGGTTACGAAGTAAAAAAGGAGGACGATGAAATGGTGGCGCTCGTGAACTGTGCGATGGAAGAGTTATCGGTTGCCTCTACTCCAGGCCAATTTTTGGTCGATATTATCCCGATGCGTATGTGGCTTGGTCTACCCCCCACTGTTCTGTTCTGTTTTTAACTCCGCTTCTTTGATAGTGCGTCATCTTCCGGAGTGGATACCCGGCGCGGGATTCCAAGTCAAAGCCAAGCAATGGGCCCAAGATTTGCGTAACATGATAAATATACCTTACGACATGGTCAAGAGGCAAATTGTGTGTACCTGATGATGCGCATGGAGAATGTACTGATCGCCTGTGATCTAGGCTACAGGCGAAGCCCCGGAGTGTTTCGTGTCAAATCTGCTTTTGCAAGAAAACGAAGACGTAGACGAGCATGACCTGAAATGGGCTGCAGGCGCGATATATGCGGGTTCGTTTTCGCTTCGATGTTACTTACCCCCGATTGGATCACTAACAAACGCCACGAATTTTAGCCGGCGCTGACACGGTATGTTTTCAAAAATGGAATGAGTAGGTTCTTCGGATATTCATGAATTTTTTAGACTGTTGCCGTTCTGGACACCTTTTTCCTTCTGATGACGCTGTATCCTGACGTTCAGAGAAGGGCTCAGGCTGAGCTGGATTCTGTACTCGGAGGGGAAAGGCTCCCCACGTTCGATGACCAAGAAGACTTGCCATATATCAACGCTCTGTGCAAGGAGCTTGTACGGTTCCATCCTGTCGCTCCCATTGGTACGTGTTGTGCTCCCTTTAGCTTGATATCTCCGGATTGCTCATTCCCGATAGGCATCCCTCATAGCACTCTCGAGGATGATGTCTTTGAAGGGTACTTCATTCCGAAAGGATCGGTTGTTTTTGCGAATATATGGTAAAGTGCCACAGCGTCCCGATGTTCCTTCATTCCATTCAACGTATCTCGCGAATAGGGCCATGACGCACGATCCCGAAGTGTACAAAGACCCAATGACATTCAACCCTGAACGATTCCTCGGTCCTCATTCTGAACGAGATCCCCGTGAAGTCAGCTTTGGCTTTGGCAGACGGTATGTTTATTTTTGACATTTCAACAATGGTCCATGCATCGTATTTACGACTTGTTCGTTCTAGGATATGTCCAGGCAAGTTGTCATGCCGGGGAACTTGCCGTTCTTGAAATCTGATCATCTCCTTTCAGGACGTCTTTTGGCTCAGGCGACTACGTACATTGTATGTTCTATGGCCCTTGTGTCCTTCGATATATCGAAGGTGAAAGGTGACGAGCCTGTGTTCGATCCCACCCATGGCAGTGTCAGGTAGGTGTTCGGTTTCTCCATTCCGCAGATGTGACAGCACGGTCTCACGCACGAGGCAGCCACCCCGCACCTTTCAAGTGTAACATAACTCCACGGTCAATACGCGCTGCGGAGCTCATTTCACACCACCATTAGTTCCGATGCTTTCGTACCCCCCCTTCCTTCCTTCTCGTTTATTCCTCGATCACGCCGATGTCTAATACTCGGACAATTGCTCCTGCCGTTTCGTTCTTCGTTCCCCTGCGGGCTCCGCTGTTTTTTTGTTGCATTGCATTTGTATACTATCACCCCCACTCAGATTACGAGTACGCCACTACCATGCTCGATACTTTATCCCGTACTCTACGCGTTTGCATAGCCAATAGTAACATAAAGTTACTACTTCGTTTACTACTATTAATATTAGTTATACGTACACTCTTCGTCTTCGCTATTTACAGGAATTATTGTCCCTGTTGTTCGTTGTATTTTGACGGACTTGTGCCAGCTATCGACTATCGACCTTGGTGTTCATTTTCTGTGTGTACCAATGATGTGTATGACCCCTAAGAATCAGGATCATGGGTTCTGTGATATGATTCCGTGATGTGCTTCTCGAGGACGATTGCCCCTCAAGTCAGATGAGCCGGCAACTACAGATGATTGCGACTGATGGAAACTCGAACCCAAGCATCCTGTCACCAACAGATGGATAGGGCAGTGTGGAAATGGAAGCAAGGCTTGTACTGCCGCCGGTAATATTGACCGCAGCGTCTATTAATCTGATATATTAGAAAACAAACCATCAACGTCGAGGACTGCCGCTTTGATCTCCGGACCGCAGGGGGGGGGAGGGGGAGGGAGCGTGTATCGGTTTTCTGCGGAGTGTCAAGCCCGACGGAGGCACAAGATCTTGTACCGTACCTTCGCCACACTCGAGACGTAGCCGTGCTACATGGATCCCATTTGATTCCACCCCGTTTGACAGCAACTGAAAGAGTTTTGAAGCCCTGTGATATCATCTTGAAGAGTAGCACGACGCCCGGCGCCCGGCGAAGGGGAGAGAGAACGCGCTGATCGTTTATCCGACCACCGTGATCTTCCTGTTCCATGCGCAGCACTCCACGAAAAAAAAAATTCACTGAGTGCTCTCGACTCGACGCGAAACATGGGAAGCAAGGCTTAGCATGAAGCTGAGGCGAGCAGACCAACCTAGCCGGTCCAACGCTGCGTTCCAACGCGACCCAGACCGCACTAGGCAAAGATCCCTCGGACCACGAAAAATTTTGCCCTGACGATGGATTCTCCCATAATTTTTCTTGTCGTCGATACCGGCACAATGACGGAGCCAGTCCTGTGAACATTGGTTTATCCGGCGCGGGAACAGTTCAGTCTTACTGTGGGGAAGGTATCAGCCGACGAGAACGGATTCGATATGAAAAGGTATAAAAATGACTGGCGACGATAGTGAGGCTTCCCCCTCCCCTTCGCAGATATTGAACCCGGTCCAGTTCTGCCTCCCTACGTTTTCTAAAGTCTGAATACAAGGCAAAATCGTAACCATGATAGTAAAAGTATCTCTGTGGGCTGCATTGTTAGTATGTAACCATTTTTTCTCTCGAAACCGGTCTGGGAACCAACGAAATATACGGATTCGGACTCGGGATTTACGATTCTGTGGCTTTATGCTCCACGGTCGTGAGAGTGGTATTAATTTCCAGCCGCCTAAGGGCAGTCTACTCCTTTCAATATGCACCGTCAGAAGTAAGAATAACAACTACTGTGGATACATACACGAGAAGGACGAGTTGATGGATCCTTCGAATTCCCTCGCAGTTACTCCAAAGAGGATGCATCCGTGTGCGATTTTCTACAGATAGCTATTTGAAGGAGAGCAGGAATTGATGTTGCTTCTTGCACCATTACCGTAAAAGGCTCACTGGAAGAGCGTCGGCTGCTGTCAGAACATCGAAAAGGTACACGTCTGCGTCATTGAACGAGGATGTGATTGCAAGCGGCCGGCGTTCCCGGACCGGCGATGCATTCTCCGTAGGGTTAGGGTTATTTCCTCTTCCTCTTTGTCCATCATGTCGTCCGTCTTGTTTTCTCTGTGAATTGATGGCATAGCACCTCATCCGAGGCACGCACTCTGCGGTAGCCGGTTTCTAGGAAAAGGATGAGACAGTGGTCCGAAAGGACGGTCGCTACGTCGTATGGCGGTGGTGGTGGCGGTACGCTCATTGACACTCCATTGCGTCGCCTCTAACAATGCCTGGTAGGTCGACAATCTCGTGCTTTACTGGCAGCTGTTGGCTCTCTACTTTGCTTGGAAAATTACTGTATGCACTTCTTCGGGACTTGGAGAACCGGACGGTGATACCACAGAGAACGTCGTGTGCATCCAGGATTAGAGGGGGACACATGATCAGAGAGAGGTATGGTGAAGGTGCGTATTGTGGCCCGCCTGTGAAACTTGCAGTTGGCGGACGGGCTCATGATGTGCATGCAGTTCAAAGCCATCGCGGTCGGAGTGAGAGTGTGTTACTCTGCTTTCTTGTCAGCAAAGAGCATGGAACTACGCAAGATACACCAAATACCTTGAGGCCGTATTCACATCGGTATATGCGCTCAAGTGCAGTCGGCCCGGCTGTAAACCAGAGTCTAGAGAGAGGTATGTGTCGTCGTCATATACCGCAGTACTTGTACCAATGTGTGCTTAGCACCCGCCCAAATCTGCTCGTCGACGCCAACAACATCAGTTTTTTCAAGGGCAGGGGAGGATAGAAGTTTTTGGAGGTAGAAGCGAGAGAACATCCACAACGTCACGCAATAGGATCAGTGTGTGTTCTCTCATTGAATTTTGACTTTGTCGAACTGTCGTTTGTCGCAGAGCCTGCGCGCGCCCAAAGACCGGGCCTGCCTTCACCTTTTTCAATCAGAGCATAGATGCTCAGAATGAGACGACCCCTCCAGGTGCCGGCAATGAAATGTCTCTTTACGGACCCTCGGTTCCATTCATTTCAGTTATTCGTGACGATGTGGGCACAAATTTCTACTTTGGATCCATTAATGAAGCTGGTCACCATCCCAAACGACTTGACCCGTAAAGTTATGTACTTGCACGGTGACCGAATCCTGAGTAGGCCTTGCCTTTGTAGGGAGCACATTCGTCCGTGTTGTATGTGCCGAGAGTCCTACTGCTGCGGTTTTCTGACTGATATTTGCTTCAGGCGCGTGCCTGGTACGTAGGCCGACGCAAGTATCGTGCATGCGTGGGCAGTCTATGTACTGACCGGTACGTGCTGCAACGTCCCAGAAACGAAGACTACTGCAGCGTCCGACGTGGCGAGATCCTTTAGGCGGAGGATCGGGACGAAGATAACACGCATGATCAGACAATGGACGCGATATAACCGCAGGAGATATATGGCTGGTCCTTGTATATCGGCCGATGGCCGTGCCGATACTTTACCCACCGTGGAACCCGGCCCACTCTTAGAGTGTCAACATTTGAAAACCACTGCTGTGAACCAGGCACATCCTTCCATTCCCGTGCAGGGCCCTCATATGGTTGTCGCACCGTATTCGTCGAGGGGAACCAAAGAGTTATTGTCATGACCTCAATCCTTTGGTATCTTCGGTGGCAGGTGCATAAATCTGTGCAGAGGCTGCCAACGCCGAGGCCAATCATCTGGAGGAGGCCTTTACATCAGAATGGATCGCGTCTACAAACTTGTGGAAGAGAGAGCGCTCTTGAGGAGGGTTTGCCGTCTGGTCTGGGTGCTTTAGGTGGTGTCTTGTTGCATTGTCGCTACTTTTAGTAGGGATCAACCTTTGAACTGCTTGCGTCTTTCTTATGTCTTGTAACAGAGTGCAGGTTCTATTCGATATCCACTGAACGGCACCGTATTCGCATGTCCTGATTCGGAGCTGCTTCGCTGGTGGGATTCTCAGAGCGATGTTCCCGTAGAACCCATCTCTCAGTAAATCGTCTCTGCCTCTGCACAGCGCAGCGCATACCAATGGCGTTGCTTTCTTTATTCTTCTTTGGATTACATCAAGGAGTGGTTTCGGTCCACGATTCTCGTAGGAAGTGCTTTATGATGTACGTGCCCGAGGGTCCTACCACTTTATACTTCTGACTGGGATCTGCTTAGACGATCAATGCCTGTATTTGTATCGGTACAGATATTGATGGATTCGCGGTGCGAGGTTTCCTGCAGCGACAAGGCGATACGATACCCTTTAGATGGAGGATGGAGGTAAAGACTCACATCATAGGTCCATCGTTTATAGATATATTGATGCAATGCCACCACGCAGGAGGGCGCGGAATGGCCGTCCCCGGTTGGCTTTCCTTGCCGCGAGCACTGTTTTTTTCAGAAGGGAATCGACCACTCGCGCGAGTCGAGGGCTCGTCGATCATGAAGTGATGTTTTGATAAAGCTCTTATAATATGTGTTTTTCTTCAAAGCCTCGATGATCCACTGGCAACCAATCGTCAGAAATCGGCTTTCCGGGCGGGCGCTGTCGTTTTTTGCGGCAACACCATTTTTCCTGCTCGGACTCATATCAGCACTGCATGGCAAAATTCTAGTCACCTTTGGGCTGTCGGATTATTCGTGCGCGCGCGAGGCGTTACCCATACCTTCGTGGGAACTGACTACTATGCGACAGAGGTGGCAGCAAGGGACCTCGGACGGGACAGACAGACAGATGAGCGAGTGAGTGTGGATGACAGTCATGGTTGGTTCTGTTGTAGCGTGGATACGGTACGGTGTTACTACTACGTTCGTTTGGATCTATTACAGGCGTAACACGGGCATTTTTGTTTCTCACCGTTCTGGTCGTCGGAAATATGTGGCAGGTGGGATATGAGGTTGAGTTGTCAGTTCTTTGTGTTTGAAGAGAGAGGATGTTGTTGTGTAATTTCCACGTATTGTTGATGTACACAACTGAATAAAGGGCGATGGTTTAATGTCACGTATTGGGATGGGCGGGAGGATGGCGGAACTAATATAAATTCAGGGCAACGATGGACGCCCGTCGGCCTATAAACACGTAAACGATGTTGAGAGTGATGGTTCCTGCACTTAGCTTCCCGGGCTGCTCGCAGGGGGGTAAGTAAACAGACGTTGGGGCCGAGCGTACGAAACCCTCCTTCTTCGTCTGAAATACAACAACGCCCCTCGCTCGCCCTCGTATGTTCTAGCCAAAAAACGAGGTGTTTGCGTACGAAAAGAGTAGTACAATTTCCAACTTCCAGGAAATGCGATGTGGGGGAGGGGAGGGTGGGGGGACGCGAACCCCCGACCAGCATAGAGTGGGCTCCAATATACTAAAATTGGCTGCGTTGTAATCCTTTCAAGATAGTGGCTAGTTTACAAGGAACGAGCAAAGGAAAGGAAAAAAAACGGGCGACAGCGTACAACCATGGTTATTTCATACTCACACCAACCCCATCGTCGCACCACTTTGTCCTAAGCCACTCCGCCACCTTCCGCCACCACCCCCTCTTCTTATCACCTGCAGGGGGATCACCACCACGTCTCCAGGACCGTACCGCATCCAATCGCCCCTGACGGCAACCTTCTGCCGCGATCTCCCGTATCTTCAGAGAGGCAAGTTCTAACTTTGTGCTTCCCCACCATTCCGAATTCGAATTCATAGGCGCCGAGCAAGCAACTGCGCCAAAAAAAAAAACCACCTGCCTCCTAGCCCGTGTATGAGTGAGCGTGTATGCTTCTCCTGTAGGACGCGTCCTTTGATGTATAATAGCAAATTGTATGCCCGGATCTTTTAATTCCACGTTCTCTCACCCGAACGCGATATTTGTGGCCAAGTCGTGCACGGCTTCTCCATATGTGTATGTGGATAGGTATCCCGGTATTTTCAAACCGATGGGTACGGCTTTCAATTTCGGGTGGCGTCGAGGTTGGCGTGCCATGCCCTGCCCATGGGATCTCAGCTCAGAGCCGTCCAAAGCCCCCCCCCCCCCAGTTCTCCGGACTCAGCTTGGAGGTATATAATATAAAACGACGCGAAAGCCACCTTGGCATCATGGAGTTCACACCTCTCTTCTCACTCAGCCCAGCTCTCGCTAGTAGTAGTGTAGTACCTTCGTCTTTGTCGCTGCTGGGAGACCTTCAACTATCCAGATGATCTCCGCAAACGAGGTGAGGCCCTCTCAAGGACAATTCCGCTTTCATCGTTTTACGTGTTCATATGGCGACGGGCATCCATCGTTGCCCTGAATTTATATTAGTTCTGCTATCCCTCGCGTATCGTAATAGGTGACGTTAAACCATCGCCCTTCATTGAGTTGTGTACCATCAACAATACGTAGACCAACCAAGGAAAATTACACAAGAATATCCTCCCTCTTGAACAGAACCAACCATGACTGGCATCCAGACTCGCTCGTCTGTCTGTCTGTCCAGTGCGAGGTCTCTTGCTGCCACCTCTGAAGCACAGTAGTCAGTTCCCACGAAGGTATGGTAACACCTCGCGCGTGGCTTAGGGCCGAGTGGTGAGACGCCTGCCGGCTGGTGATACATACCCTCACCCGCTTTCTTTCCTTTGCTTCCATACTAACTGTACCGCTCGTTTTCGTACCACCATCTCGAAGATTACACATCCTTCTGCCGTTCTAGGATCTGAATCCGCGTCTCAAATCGCAGATACGAACAAAGTCCATGAGGCGGGAAATGCGATCAAAACACCATGCAGCCAATTTAGTATATTGGAGCCACTCTGTGTGCTGGTCGGGGTTCGCGCCCCCCCCCCCCCCACATCGCATTTCAATGGATTTGAGCATCTACTCTTTTCTCACCCAAGGCTATTTATTGTACAAGAACTCGAACAGGGCGGTTCCTGCATCGATGAGATAGCTACGTACCTCATAGGCGGGAAGTATTAGCACTATGCACAATTAGCTTATCAGGCGGACATCTATGACCGAATGTCGCGTACCGAGTAAAGTTGTATGAAGCAAGACAGAGTGTGTCTGTCATATAAGCTTCACCTTGATGACACGAAAGCGCATCCAACTCAAGCGCCACTTTGCACTGGGGAGGGGAACAGAACGCCAGTCCAAATTGATGCCGGATACATCTGCCAGGGAAGAGAATCTTGCGATACCTCTGCGAGCGTCTGTCGGTCAGATTAAGATACTCGCATGAATCACGAACGACATACCTCGAACGAACGCGCTAAGGACGAAACTGCATCGGCCGGCGCTCGCTCAGCTTCATCCTGCGACAGGAACCATCACGCCCAGCGAAAACTATTTTTTTCTCAGATGATATGAATCACCGATGGCCAAGAACTGTATACATATATATAATAATCAGCAGAAAATCCCAAAAAGGACTCCCAACGCACTTGAGCAGAGACACAAGAACCAGGATACCCGCACCGCAAAAGGGCACCCAGCTGGATAAAAACCTCCATCAGTGAAAAATATATATATATATACGACAAGCCACTTGCCAACTCACGTCGAAAAACTAAACCCACCCGACCGGAAGAGACCCATCAGCACCAGCGAGACAACCGTAGCCCCACACACGACACTCAAGACACTGATGCCCAAAAACACCAGCAGCACGATCACCGCCAACGTGATCCGCGAGCGCTGCTCGTTCCGCTTCTTCAGCGCATTATTAACACTACGCCTCGGCGGGAACAAGACGTTGAGGAAAGCAATACCCGCGCACGCGATGAAGAAGGGGGAGTAGAAACATAGAGTCCAGTAGAGCGTGAAGGTGAATATCTGGGAGTAGTGGTAGAGGTAGACTGCGCCGGGCTGTTCGGCGTTGTGGTTGGGGATTTCGAAGAATTCGAGGCTGGGGTCGTAGAGTGATGGCCAGCGGGGGTTGGCCATGGGCAAGAGGGTGTCTCTGATGTGACGTGACAATGGTTTACCCGGTTCGCTATCAATGGTGAGCGGGCCGTGGCGCTTGCCGGCCTTAGTAAGTTACACCCTGGGAACATATTCTGAGGGCCTTAGAGACCACCCTCAATTTGATTGCAATGCATGAATGGCTAACATGGCTTTTGAAGGGTGAGTGATGGGGGGTGGTGGTGGTGGTTTGAGAAGTATGAGTGGGTTGCAGGAGAGGTGGTTAGAGGATGGTGTGACAGATGCATAAATATGCCAATCATAGCTGTGCTTGTAGAGCAAGGTGTTCTTGAATGTAAATGGTCTAAGTTTTTGAAGACCCACATCCAGAGTTTGTATGATAGATTCTGAGAGTCTGAGAGATGTGTAAAACATTACTCCTCCAGCTCTAGCAGAGTGACCACCAAAATCTCTGTCCAGTATTGCAAAGAATTTTTTGTTGAACCAATTTCATGATGGAATATCACCAATTTCATGGAGGAAGAGTGGAGTGCATGGGCCATGAAGATGATCTCAATATCTGATGTATTATGATAGGAGGTGTTTTTGTTATATGAGTAGAATGTCAGTGCCATGATAGAAAGGGTCAGATTTGTTGTAGGGAATGTGGTATTGTGCATCATTCTTTTGGAGGACAAACAAAGAATGTTTGATTATTTTGCAAAAGTCCTGAAGTTGTTTGTCATTTTTCCATATGAGCTCACCTGACTGGCAGTACCCATAAAAGCAGCAAGAAAGGATGGTGGCAAAGAGGAGGTCATTGTAAGAACCTGAAATGTTAGCAAGAAAACAAAAAGCAATCAAATGGGATAATTGGAGGGGTAGTTTTTGAAACATAGGATTACCACTCATCTTCTTTGAGCCATAGGTGGTTGCTTGTACCATGAGGTGTCTCTGATTTGTGTCAAAGTCAGAATAGAGGTCTTTTAGAAAGTGACAGACTCCAGTCAAGTATTTTGAGCTGGATGAGATATACTGAGATGTATAGGCTATGTACCTGCTGAGAGTAAGTGTTGTAGGTTCAAGTGGTAATGCATGCAAAATCATATGTAGTCATGTGCTTCTGTTGCACAACCCTTTGCTGCTCTGAGCTCAATTGTGTGAGCTTGGAGAAAAAGAACATATTCATCAAGAAGAGAGAGGGAAGAAGCTGGGTGAGCAACAGCACAGTTAAAAGGAGTATCTCCATCATGCTGGCAATAGGTCTCTTAGTGAAGTAAAGATGCAGACATGGTCAGCAGTGAATTTGTGATGATATTCATCAAGAAGGCAAGAAAGCATATCCACCCAAATATTCTCCTTTCTATCAATGTGTTGAACATAAATGTTGATTCCTGATCTGAGTATAAGATCTGCTGCTCTGAGTAAGAGTACATTATGAAGAAGTTCTGATACAGATAGAAAATTGAATGCAGTGACAGAGTTAAGGCTATCAGTGAAAAGCAAGAGGTGTTGAGGGAGTTTGAGTAGGCATACTGCATACTGAATGGTGGAAAGAATGGCCACAAGCTCCAGAAAGAAGATGTCAATCATTATTCTAGGTAAAGGTGGATGGAGCTGATATACAAACTGTTTCCTGTAAAAACAAATTATAATGCATTTTTTGGGCTGGCTTCCATCTAGATTATCATGTTAGCTTCTGAAATAGTCCAGAGAGTTGAATAAATGAAGTGAATGCTCAAATAATCTGAAAGAATAGATGAAAACCAGGAGAGATCCTCTCTAACAGCAGCATTGATGAAGATCTTTGTAAAAGAGTGAGTCTTCCTGGCCATCTTCCTGTATGAAGAGAATAAAGCTGGACAGCCTCATGGTAGAACATTTAATATACAGTTCAGATATCCATCTAGATGCTGCTATTTCTACAGAATAGATGCTCTTCTGAGTGTCAAAAGAAAAGAGTTGACTTCAGATTTAGCATCAATAACAGACTGTTGTGTAAGAGAGACACTCCTCTGGTTGGCATCAACCCAGAAATTGATAATTTTAAGAGATTGACCATATATCTGTTTTGGATCATCAAAGAGATAAGAGATATATTTCCAAAATATTAAAAGTTGTACTTGTCATGCTGGCCATTGCTGACCTCAATAAAAGACTTGGTGATTGGTGAAACCCCAGCCAAAGAAGTCATTCATATAAACATGAAGATCAGTGATATCCAGGTGGTGGATTCTGATCCAGCACAATAACACTGAAACCAAACACCAAATTCTAGATGAAGCTCAGCTCCTGAAGACTAGTTATCCAACAATGTAATATTGGTCATCAATGAGGACAACTTGATGAATCTGCCATAAAGAATGTGTTGGTAAATTCAGAAAAGCCTTGGTGATGTCACTTTTATAGAGAGTAAAGTCAGCATTAGAATGTTGTATTTTGGCATTATATAGAGCTTTACTGAATGGATGTATATCATCATATTTCACCTTTGTCTTGCTAGCTGGAATTCCTGCATTTGGACTGGAGAAAGTATGATCTGTTACAATGTGAGGTTTTCTGTTCTGCCAGATGACAAATATAGGTAATGCCTTCATATCTGATAAGAGTGTAAACTCTTCCAGCAGAAGTGATGACCAATAGCTGGCTGTGACTTCATGATCACAAAATGCTCATATTTTGTTGATGTTTTTGGGGTCCATGATATAATTCTTGGTTTTGTCATAGAGAGAATCTTCCCATTCACCAAGGTCAAGAGGCCAGAATCCATTCTGAAGACTATAAATGACTGAGAAGATGAAGAGTTCATTTGGATGAAACTAAATAATATTCTCCAAACAAGTGACATTGAATAGTGTGTTGACTACAATAAAATCTTTTAGAGCATGTAGCATAGTCTGCAAGAACAGATCATTGAGTAGATATGTAGATGGAGAAGATAGAGGATCAGCAGATTCAGTAGATTGAGCAGCAGAGAATGTAGATACAGATGGTAAAGAAGTATTTAATCAGACATAGCCATATCTGAAGCACAGGCTGATATTCTGGTCCATACATTTGCATTTCTGAGGCTTTAATGATCTAGGCCCTGCTGCTGCCTTCACTGTTATCTCTTCCAAATCTGAGTCTCTGTTTTGTCCAGAGGAGGTTGATACAATTGATAGTGTCTCTAGCTCAGTATCCTGAGCTGCACTCACTGCAGGTACTATACCTACAGCAATTGATATATGGATTCTGGTAGAAATTCAGATTTAAATTTTCACATGGAACTGTTGATCTTTCTGCAGCAGAGAGTGAAGTAGATGAAAATTGCTTTATGCCTGATGAAATCAATGGAGAGTGAAAGACCTGAGTGAGAATAGGAATTTGTAGTTCACTCTAGATATCCATATGAAAAGAGCACTTAGCATAACACAACTGAACTTTCTCATCAAGATAGATGGCAATTGTAGCATCATGTGATGCAGCCCAAAAGATCTTGATCACATATTCTCAATAAGCTTTGAGTTTGAGCTCATGATGCAGATAAAGAACTTGAATGCCTCTAGCTCAGGCATCATATACTCTGCACCAGTCAGATTCTGACCTGATAGGCTGCTTGGCTGATAAGACATCTTTCCTGACAATTGCACATTCTGTTATGAGCTCTTTTTCCTCCTTGTTGTGATTGTACCCTCAGTCTATTGAGACAAAAAGTTTTGAAAAGTCAATATGTTGGTCTTGAATGATGAGGCATCAGAACAGCTGAGCAATGGGTTTGGAGAGAGACTGGATCTGAAGAACTGCAATGAAGTTATGAAGCAACTTTTCAGTGGCATAAACTTGTCTGAGGCAGAAAAACTCAGTAAGATAAGGGTCTGAGATATCAGTGATGATAATAGATGCCAGATGAGGTGCTTGAGCAAAAACCATCAGAGAAATAGAAGCCATCCTTGGTGAGACAGCACCATCAAGCCTCAGAATGCCAGTGAGAACTGTAGCAATGGAGCTCTGAGATTTATTTGTGGTTAGTGTTTGATGAAGGAATTGAAGCTTTGAGCAGAGAGTCACTGAAGCTGCTTCCTCAACTGTGTGAGCTCTGGCATTCTGGTGCTGTTCTGCAGCAGCTTTGGATTTTTCAGCTCACTTTTTTCAAAACTCCTTGATCTTAGCCTGAGACAAATCTGATGGAGTGGCCTTCCTGTAGTCTATCACACCGACATTTTCATGGTCACCATCTTGTTGATGAACCAGAAAGTTGTTATTAGACTCTCTATGGGCAGGAAACATGAAACTTATAATGATGAGTGAAATCAAAGCACAGAATCCAAAGGCTGGTTCAGGCAAGTCTAGTTGTGTACCTCTGTACAGTGACTATAATCTCTAATAGGGTGTAACAATTGCTTGCTACAGGTGTTATGAACCTCTAAAACTATAATCAGAGAGTCAAAGTATGTATGTGAACTTTTCTATAGCAGAAATGTCATATAGGTATCTGAGAATTGAGAAGTGCAACCTATATGCAGTGTGAATGTTTTTTGTTGGAATCCTATATGCAGTTCCAGTAGTATCTATAGACAACTGTTAGTGTCATTCCTTAATGCAGAAACTGTAGACTGATGTTAGAAGCTTAAAGACATAGTATTCTATCTATGGTTACCCTTCAAGGTCTTCAGGTTGGTCCAGGAGGTATGAGTATGAGACACAAGGACAATGAATCCTTTGATGCTTTTGGAAAGGAAGCAATGCAATATTTGTGAATTAATAAGTTTGCTGGTGTGCCATGCATGAGTCTCCCAGTAAGTTGTAAGGTTGTTAAGATGCTAGAGTGCTCTCAGTTGAGAGATATTGATCTATATGTGATCAGTGTAACCAGTTCTATTAGAGGTGTGTTGTACAAGTATATAGTCTAGTATGGGTGTTGAGTGATCTCAGTATGTCTTATCTGTAGAATGTAACTTGGGCTTCCTATTTTCTATGTTATTCTCTATTGTATAGTACTCTACTTATACTACTCATTTACTAATACTAAGTATGTTACATTAAACTGCCTTGGTAACTGCAGTACTAGCTTAGTGAATGTAGCAAACTTTTTATAATATAAAGCCTTCAAAGCTGTGAGGATTGTACTAAACATAGCATATTTAAAAGTTCATCTAGCAATAGTACACTAGCCCTTCTGATATTCCTTGCAAATCTCTAACCAAACACATGGTTAGTCCTCTGCAGTATACCAGCCTTCCATATACTAGCTGTGAAGAGCTTAGACATCTGCAGCAAGTCTTGTATACACATTGTGATGGGCCTTATGGACTTTATTAGGGTGTCACATGTATACTGAGAATGACACATGTCATATACGGTTGAGTATCATAGTGCCTGGCTGTGTCTATGATGTGTAGCTATTGAGAAAGTTCACATGCCATGAAAAGTTTGTGGCAAAATTACATGCATTGAACCTGGAATGATTGGTTTACTGAAAGCCTACTTAAGGGCTGAAGTCAATTATTGAGGCCTGTGAATTCAGAGCACACAGAGCCTAGAGGCTCATCATTGTATGTTAGAGGATGCAACAGTTGAGCTCCATGGGCCAGCTTCCTTAATCTGCTCCTGCAGAAGTCTGATGTAGTCTCTGGTGGCCTCAGATGAAAGGCCAAGCTGGTGAAGTTCATCCACAAAGTTGAGAATATTGACAGTGTCTCTGATGCATTTATCAGCAAGATCTTCACATTGTTTAGCCAAGGCAGTGACACTTTCAACATTGGATGATGGATTCAAGGTCAGGAATGAGATTAATAGATTTGAGAGATAAAAGTCTAGACAGAAAACTTAATAGCAACTTGTACAATAATGGTGTAGTAATACTGAATGAGGTTTGGTTAGATGTGACAAGGCCAAAGACTGCTTGAGTGAGCCATTTGTAAGATGAGAGAAGAGATAGAGTCTCACCAGGCAATAGGAGTTACTGAGAAGAGAAAGAAGAGGTGATGCCTTGATGCCTGGGATTGACAGTCAGAATTGATCAATGGTGAGAGAGCAGAGTTCATCTCACCTAGAGATGCAGGATGAAGGTGGAAATGAAGAAGAGACACCTGGAGCCAGTGTCTTTCATGAATCAGCATCAGCTGAGAGTCAGCACTGAGACAGAGACGGCACCAGCGGCCCCTCTTCATGGACAAGTGGAGCTCCGTATCTCCATATCAACAGAGATTGTGAATACCTCGAGAGCCACGCAGAGGCCTGCGAAAACGCTCCCTACCCTTGGAATCCATCTTTACGATGGGCCTTACTAAGTTACACCCTGAGAACATATTCTAGCCTTGGCATACTATGTCTGAATACCAAGCTTATAATAAATACATGGGTCCTAAAGGAGCCGCTGGTGCGGTAACTAGTGGCATAGCACTATCATGTCAAGAGTCCTCTTCTCCAGACTGACGAGCCACAGCCGCCTTTGCTGCGTCTCTGGATCGGAACCACCATTGAAAGAGAGGAAGCGTTATCAGAGATACACCCATCCAAGCGAGGAGGATGCCGAATTGCAGCCCCACTGGTGGCAAACAAACTTGCTTAGCGCGAAGATCGGACGGAAAAAAAAAAGAAAGGAAAAACATAACCACTCACGTTGATTCTTGGTTCCGAATAGGATCGTCCGTACGGCGCCCGACACGTTGTAGAAGGGGAAGGCATAGCCATACCGGAATATGCCTGGCAGCACTTCCAGCGGCATGAAACACACGGAGATGTTCGCTGAAGCAGCGCGGTCAGGTGTACATTTTTTTTCCAAAGGGTTAACAAGAAAGAGCTTACAGATGATCATAAATATCATGTAGAACCCGACGAACCTCGTCGTGAGCAGGGTGAGCATCGCTTCCAACGATAACCCCACAGCCAACATTCCGACATAGTTCAGCATCCAGAACAGGACGAAACCCGAATGCCCGAATCTGTTTTTTTTAAAAACCAGTCAGCGGTTATGCGGGAATAGGACGCGACAAACGCACGTCCTTGAAAAGTCCACTTGAAAGGCTAAGCATAGAAGGGAATAAAAAAGCGCGAGCACAAAGTACGAGATGAAGCTTGATGCTAGTCGGAGGAAGATAAGGGACCATGTCGTTAGTGACGTCTCCAGCCCTGACATCTCACGGGCTGCAGCAGAGAAATTCTGTAAAATGGTTCAGACAAAGAAGGGGAGGTGGAGGTGGTAGAACGTACGACGATAAAAAAGGCCAAGACTAAGACGTAGATAAGGCCCACAAACGTCATAGCACTAGCCCTACAACGGATGTCAGATTCGGAGGGGAAAAAAAAAAGGAATCACGTAGAGACATACACAGGAACATCGAACGGACGGAGATTATCCAGCGTATACCCTACGGGTTCCGCCAGGATTTGAGGGGCAGTAGTGGATATGTTCGCTATTATCTCTGGATAGGCCGACCCAACCTGTTTCACGAAAGACTTGGCTATGCCAATGGTTACTGCATTAAGCGTCGCCTCCACAGAGGGCCTAATCAAAACACGACTCGAACAGAATCAGATCAAACATCCAAGACAGGGAGGGGTGGGCAGCTCACTAAGCGTTCTCATTACGGGCTTCGACAGCAAACGCCGTGAGCGCCACCGAGCCGTCGTACGACGCGTTCACAGAGAGGACCGCAGACTCGAGAAGCCTCGTCGTGTTCGGATGCACTATCAGATAAGAGAGAAGATCAAAAAAATTCAATCAGCCCATCCTACCCCGCCAACGACCCAACACCGGCATACATACCAACAACAGCAACCCACGTCTGCTGATCCACCACCGCACCCGCAACGTCATCCACCCCGCCCGGAAACTCGCTCGCCGACCTGTTCGTCCAGCTCACCTTGCCCGACGACGAGACCGAGGACGACAGCAGAGCCTGGACAACTGCGCTCCCCACCGTCGAGCCGTCAAAGTCCTATCGATATCGACAACGCAACCAATCAGAACCGGAACAACTCGAAAAGAAACCGAAAACTCACCACGACCCACCCCGCGAAGTTCCGCGTGGGGACCTTCCACAGCGCCCCCCAGTATATCGAAAAGACGGCGAACATGAGGACGACCATCGCCCCGACCCCCACGCCGACCACCTTCAGATACATGCTCCGCGATCCGCGCATCGTCTCGGTCTGGTCTGTAAAGCGGGAGGTATACCACGATGGCGTCTGGGGCGTGTCATGATGATCCCGATTCGGCGCCTCCTCCTCCTTGGTCAAGCCATCCGACGAGTACATCGTCCGTTCAGACGGAGAGTGGATGGAATGCGACATGTTCGTGCGATCAGCATGTTATCGCTTTACCACACGCTATTTATGCACTTCCGTCCGAGCGTCGATAGGAGGGTAATATGTGATGACTGCACCCGGGGGAAGGGGTGGGTGGTGTGAGAGCATTAAATGATGGGGGGAGAGACTTCTTAACGCAGGTAAAGTTAAATGGTTGCGCCACTGAGGTACGATCCGGATCGGCGGCAGTACCAGCAGCATAGGCAGAGTCGTATCGGTAGGAGTCCTTCTTGGTTGGCCCCCATGGAACTCCGCTACCAGCGAGGCTTCCAATCTACAGAAGGGGGGAAAAAAAAAAGAAAAAGAAAACTCGTGAGATCGCCTGAAACATCAACCAGGCGACCGAATAATCAACCACGACGAGGCCTTCTATAAATATAATCACATGTCTGCGTACTGTCAGGCATTTCATTATCAGCCATTTGGACGTGCACGTACCTGTCCTCCTAACCGTAGTTGGACGCTTTACAGGACGATGGAGTGGAGGCGGGGGGGCCTCCACATGGGACCAGGGGCACGATGGGTTGGTTATTCTTGTTCTCCCTTACCGCAGTGGAACCTCTCGTCGCCCCTCCAGATGCAATTCCACAGGCACTCCGTCCTGGTTGCGATAAATATGTCCATGCTCTGATTCATCCTGCTGCACGCAGGAGGAGAAACGTGCGCAGCGGTCACGGTCCCCCCGAGAATACCGAGAATACAGGACATCAAGAATGGAACGGAATGAGAACCCGCTAGTAGTGGTGCCAAAAAGAACTTCTCCCGTCCCCCACCCAATAAAAGCCCGCTTACTCTTATCAGGAGATAAGCGTGATTCGAATCCCCGTGGTGGTTATCTGAGGGCGGCACAAAGGAAAGGAAAGGGAAAAAAAGACCGCCCTGATTAAAGATTAAAGATCCACCGTCTCTGATACTCAAGCTTCGCGTCTCGGGTCCGATGGTGCAGTATATTCGATTTCAACCCTACATGCATGCCAATGTTTGCCAAGAATAACTCATATTATTGAAGGCGAGATAGCGTCCGAGTCCAGGATGGTGATAGAACGGAAAGAACTTTGGACGGAAACCCTAACCCTAGAACGTTGTCTCTCTCCCTTGCCAGTGGCAGCGCAAAAAAAAAAAAAAAGACTCATGCCGAGCGCGGTTAATTGACGCGAATATGCGTTCAAGATGCCAGCGTTGAACGACTCGAGTCGGAGACCATGTACCTGACTGACCTCGCGCTGCAATAGAAATAGAAATAGAAACGGCAATCGAAAAAACGGACAACCTCATTGGCTAAAAGAGTTTGCGTTCAGGGGACCTCAGACAGAAATAACAATGAAAAGCAGCCATAAATAGAACGGAATAGCTATGTATAAGCAGGTGTCTCTCGCATAAGCTATTCATTGAATATTGAGAGCCCGTGCGCACGGAGAACAGGGAAGGATCGCGCTATGCACACGGAGCGAAGGTCGAAGAAACCAAATGCAGATCCCTCGAATACTGGATCATTAAATTTCCCGTATAATCCTACATTGTTTTGACCAAATCAACGACCTCCGGAGATCGAGGGGAAATGGAGCACTGGAACGGGGCAGGACGACTGTTGTCACGGAGACTGATTAGGACGCAGACCAGAATGCAGAAGAAGCATTTCGTACCTGATAGTGCCATCCAGCGGTTCTAATACCGGTTCCTGAGCGAAATTGTCCGCCTTGGATATGTCAAAGACACTCAGGACCATGGCACAGATGATGAAAATGATCTCGTCCGCTAGGTATTGACCTGTTTAGAATGAATCGAATTCAAAAAATTAAAAAGTTTACTGGGATATCGTACCAGGGCATTTCCTAGCGCGGAAAATCGGTCAGCCAGAGCGCTCGCACACACGAGAAGGGAGGGAATCAGCTGACCGTCTGCCGAAGCCGAATATAAAACTTCTGGGATCCCTTTCCGGTGCGTGTCCCGACCCAGGTAAGAAGCGAGAAGGGTTAAACACGTCTGGATCTTTATAGACGGTGGGATCATGAGCCATATTCCTGAGACGAAAGTTATCCCCCTACTACTACCATCAGTTCACAAAGTAAAAATGCGACGTACCTTAAATTAGCAAGTATCACCGAGTCCTTTGGGATGAGATAGTCGTTATAGATATCATCTCGTAATGTACTGTGAGGAACACCTACGAGAACAAATTAAAAGTTGAAAGGAAGCTAAACCGAAGGACTTGGCGCACTCAAGGGAACGGCGGGATGGAATCGCATGACTTCCTTACATAGTGCGTTGACATACGGCAGCTTGTCCCGATCTTCGCAAGTTGGAAGGCGCCGGCCTTGTAACACGTCATCGATCTCCGCATGAGCAGCCTTCTGCGCGCCAGGAAAGAGCACCATAGTGATCAAAAACACATGGATAGTGGCTATGGTCTGTGGAGCGTATTGAGAAAGTGACCGGGGGGAGGGGACCTTCAAGGATCCGTACTTACCGTTTCTCCTGCCGCTGGTGGTGGCCGACTTCAGAATTTAGACAGCAAAATCTTAGAAGAATACTACGGCTTACCTCCGTAAATAGCTGAAGCAGCCCACTTTAGGTCGTGTTCCGATACGGTATTTTGATGTATTAGAGTGGAGACGAAGGACTTATTCTCGATACCCGTAGCCTATATTCAGGAAGAATCAGACAACGACCAGATGCACCGTATTGTGGACATCTTACCACCTCGCGCTCAGTAAATCTATAAGGTACGTTTACCATGTCGTCGAGGTCTGTGGCCCATTGCCGCGCCTTTGACTTGAAAGCCATCCCAGGGAGCCATTCAGGGAGGAAGCGCACTGAAAGATGTTAGGCCTTGGAGAACGGAAGAAAACCGGCCACACACAAAACGGTATTTGGTCCACGAGGAAAGCCCCTGGAACAGTCACTTGCGAAAATTCAGCCATAGTTCTGTCAACTAGCTCTACAAGGGCATCTCCATCTTCGCCGACCTCGTATCCGTACGTGATATTCAGAATGAAACTGACGATACGGCTGATATAGTGGGAGTTATGAGCTTTTTTAATCCGTAGGATGGATAACCTTTCACACTCACCGAGATATATGGTCGGAGAACTTGTCAGGCGTATCTATTAAATTCCTGGCGAGTCGCAGTGCCACCGTTTCCTGCGCCTTATGAAATCGGCCCACGACGTTGGCGCCAAAAACGCCATGCAAGAGCTTCCGTTGTCGTCGCAAAACGTGTCCGTTCGGCAAGAGGCCCAGAGTCGACTTCCAGCCCACCATATCCCCTCCCATGGTAAAATGCGGGCGCTCAGAGTAGACAGAACCACGCCTATCCAGAAGATCGACCGCCGTTTCATAGGAGTTGAGGATGACGAATGTTTGGCCGAGAGCGGTTGCAGAACACACGGCGCCTGAAATCTGTGAGGATGGCTGGTGCAGAAAAGGGGGGATTTCACGGACCATACGTCGCGCCCCAGCGAGCAAAGGTCAGCCATGGTTTTCCGGTGGGCATGTCTAGGGCATTACCAATGAAAGGGAGCCCTCGTGGTCCGGGGGGTCGACGGCCTTTTGCGACGAATGTCTTGTACGCGAGTCGTGCGAGGATGTAAGCCGCAAGCGTAGTCAAGACGGCGGAGAGTGATATGGGCATCATGGGAAGGGATGCTCGCACGAGTAGGTTGCTGAGTATCGTTGACTTTTACGCGAGCAGTTCTGTATAAACCCGGGTTAGGAACTGAATGGCCGGGTGTAATACGGCATTTAAGGCTAATCATCAGGCCCAGCGGTCTTTCTGCCATAATCATTTTCATAGATTTCTTGGAGGACTAGCACATTCAGTATAGGTTCCAGGGATACGCCCGTACGTCAAGGGCAAGCAAGTAGCTCCCGATTCTCCAGCGAGAAGGATATAACGGTCCTGTGCGGGGACATCAATGAACGCCATTGCTTCATTTTGACAAAATACGTACCCTATCGTACAAGCAACCTTCGGAATACAACTTCGTTAACAGGAATTCGTTCCCATTTGCTTCCGATCAGATCTGAGGCGCGCCAATGCTGGCTGTTGGTCTTCTCTGGTCCTGGAATGTCATTTTGAAGCCTAATACTAAGATTAGCCTCAATGTACCGGGGGGGGGAGTTCGGTGATGAAGTTGCGAATAACCTTGATAAATGTAGCATCTAACGCGCGCTGCTTTCAAAAAAAAAGTACACTAGGATCAAGACTGAAGCAGAAAAGGAAGGTAGCCGGACCGGGCCGGGAGTCTGCAGAGCAAAGGCGATCAGTTGGCGCACAGGCCGGTGCCACACACAGATTCTCGACAAGTTACTGCAGCTAGGTGGATGCGTGCAGTCGCACCCACACTCGACGTTTCTGGTTTGACTTGGAATTGGACAGACCAGTGGAGTGAATGATATCGCGCCTGTAGACGTACATCTATTCCGTAATGCCCTCTCCTTTCCAGCGTAAAATATCTGGTATGCGCCATGGTTATCATCTCTCGTAGGTTTTCTTTGTTATCGAGCTTATAAACACGATGTTGACATTACTCTCGTAGCGACGATCCGTATTCCATACTTCCATGTCCCGAACCTGAAGGGAATAAGAATGTCTTTGCTGTTGCCGCCATCCTTGTCGACTACAGTGATGGTACTACCCAGACTGTCGTCATTGACACTACCTGGAAGACCATCAAAACTACACTTCCTAGAGGATGGACTAGCTCCAGCTTTGAAAATTCGGCTTGGATTGCCGCAGCTTATGAAATGCTTACAGCAAGCACACCTTGAGGGAGCCCTTCGCTTCCTCTTGCAATGAATATGGTGGGGGTCAGCCGGATCCGGACGAACAAGACTTCGGCCGCTGGGGTAGACCCTCTTGGACATAGGCCATTTCACGAGACTATCGCTCGACCTATTGAAAACCTGCTGTATGTGGCAAGGTCGTCGTCACCACATGTCTTCCTTCCTTACTTCATCCCTTATCTATCTGATCACGATTTGCAGCGATGATGCGTACACGTTGTATGTCAATGGTAGCAACTGGCTAACCATACAGGCGTATTCCATTGCTATTCTAGATGCGGATGAGAACATCATCTTTGCGGATAGCATGAATACGCAACCCACAGTTGCTTCACTCAGAATGACATATGTCTCCCTCCCGGCCCCAATATAGCCGGCGTGTTGATCCAGGTGAATGTTCAACCATTAATTGCAGATGATTTGTTAGCATACAGTAATGGAACGTCGGAGATGCATTACATGGATGGCTCGTGGAAGATGTTGGTGGCTTTGAAGCCACGGATTTGGATGTCAGTTCACGGATTATGCAAAAGAGTGGGTGGATGGTGACAGTTCCATGAGCATAAGCTCTTTTGTACGATGAGCTTCGTTGGGCTTTGCCCTTGTCGTAGAACTTATTACATCCATGCTTCTCGGGTTGGTCTCTATTCGCGGTTTCTTAATTTCAGTATGCAGTGGATTGTGGCGAGTCGGCGTGGCAGCTCTTTGTAGAGGAGAACTGTGTATTTTTTTTTGCGAGTAAATAGAAAAACAGATATTGAATCAGGTAATGGTGTCAAAGGACATGGTATTGATTGATCCGGTAGTCGTCGGCAGGATTGTGGCTCAAATATTCTGGTCGAAATCATAATTCTTAGCAAAGGATGACTTGCTGTAACTTGACCAATTTTTCTTAAGATGTTCAATTAAAATTGAACTAAGATAAGTTGAGATAAATCAGCTTAAGTATGACTTATGCATGATAAATACACTGTCTTAAGATATCTTTACTGTTTTAGATACATGAATATCTCAAGTACTTGACTTTAGAAAAAATGATTTCTGTTTCTCATCTTCAAGATGGTTTTTCTTTTGCTCATCACTCTATATCTGATCATCATATTCATTGAGCTCTTATGGGAAGATAACTGGGTTGCATGGAAGCATTGAGTGACAGCTTTTCTATGAGAATAAGGGCTCCTGATCCTGATGTATGCTGAAGGGGTAGAAGCAAGGCCAGTGCACTGCAGACCCCCAGAAACCAACAAAAGAGAAATTAGAAAATGTACAGAAATGTGACAAGATGAATGGGAAGGTGGAGACCTAAATCAAGCTTACACTGAGTGATTCACAGATGATTCACATCACTGGAGCTACTACAGCAGCCAATATGTGGAAGCAGCTGAAGTTAGTGAAGGAAGCTAGAGGAAAGTTGGGGATACCCTTATTTCATTGTCATCTCTATCATACTACTGCAGATGAATCTACTGATATTATAGAGCATGTAACTGAAATGCAACACATCCAGGAGGAGTTAGAAATGCTAGGGAGTCATGTTTTGGATATGGACCTCTCAGTCTCTTGATTGGCCATAGCTCAAATTTCTCTTCATGTGCATTACCCAAGTCCAATTCTGATTCTGAAATTTCAGGGTTTTCAGTTATGTCTGAGTTGGTCTGTCATCATTTCTTCCTTCTTGGTCATCTAGTAGTGTTGCTGGATGAGTTATTCCTACAAGCTTTACTCTCCTGACCAGTCTTCATCATAGGACTATTTACCAGAGATCCTTGGTTGAGGTTTGATAGAGAGGGAGTGCATGAAGATAAATTGTCAACAATGCCACCACTCACATTATTTAATCTAGGAATAGAAGATGTTGATCCCACAGTCAGTTGTAAGGGTTTATTAGTTATTGATTCAGGTAGCAAATTATTAGATTGAACTATGGAATGGTAGTTGTATGGTGATTGATTATGAGTGTCTACCACTAATTTCTTCTGCAAACCATTCAGTGTGTCCTCCAATGTTAGGCAATGCTTGTGTTAAGCCCAAGTGACACGTGATCTTGACAACACGTGATAGACGGCTGTCCCTTCGCACTTCGAGGGATCACCCGAATCCACTTGTGATGTTGTCCTGTTTCGGTGTG